CGGGGTCGCTGAAGGGCCCTGGCAAGTCGGGGTGGGCCCGTACAAGCCAGAGTGGACCCACACAGGCCAGAGTGAGCCCTGGCAGGTCGGGGTTGGCCCCTGGCAGGCCAGAGTGGGCCCTGGCAGGTCGGGGGTTGGCCCATGCAGGTCGAAATGGGGTAAAGTTTCGAGGAAATGGTCGTTCTTCATTTGCCCGAGACATAAGCCCAATATGTATTTGTTGAATTATTGATAATACATTACAAGTCGTGACCACGGTGTGGATAATGGTGTGAGCTGAGCTATTTAAATGTCCCATGACGAGCTAGAGCCTTCTCCCACACTATTTGCCAGAATAGTGCCTTCGCTATTCTGGCAAATCGCCCGAAGATGTTGGATGTAATTTCCAGCGAAACGTCGTACTCAAACATGTTGTGGATTCAATTTTCAACACACCGGTGGGCTAAAGTAGTGAAATATTTGTATTTTGTCAACGTAACACATTTTTTACTGATTGGACGTGTTGGGTGGTGGAGGGTTGCGACACATTTCTAAACAACACGATCTCACCCAAAAAACGTTATTATGAACCACCACCTGGCTCACTCGATAACGCCTGCGGCCACACCGAACCAAATGTGCTGAGTCCAGCGGCTGTCAGATTTGTGGGTCTCAATGCAACACAATGTGGAAATATATCATGTTTAAATACGGTCACATCCCAAGACGCCGTAGATAAACCATGTTGTGTGGTGTATACAGATTCTGTATAAATACATACATAAAATAACCGATGACCAAATCACCGCGAGTTTGCCCGATCTCGTTATATCTCGGAAGCCAAGCAGTTTTAAGACTGGATAACGCTTGTCCCCTTCTCTATGTCGACTCAGCCGTAAGTGAATACTTAGTGTGGCATTTAAACATCAACGATTGGGATACAAAGGCGGGTATGGTGCACAGATAAGTTTGAGAACGGACAGTAAGACGGAACTGTGCCAAGCTCTTCGGCGTGGTGTGCCGTGTGCCCTTCGGCATGATGTTAGCCGTTCTTCGGCAAGATGTCCGACGTTTCGCCGCACATGCTGAGAGATGAATTCAGCTTCTGAAGATCCCAGCACGTGCGGCGAAACGTCGAACATCAGACCGAAAAAACTCCATCCGTGTGGAGGACTTGGGTCTACCAGACTGACTCTCTCACCTCGTCCACACTGTGTTCTTATCACCACGTTGCAAGGTCATAACACCTCTAGGCACTGCTCGCTCCACTGTCAAATCATCTCTTCCCCCCCCCCCCCCAGCTCTCGCCAGAATAAACTTGCTCAATTCAACAAACGTGCCGCAACTCTTATCCGTTACAACTTCAATAACCGTGATGTGTGATGCTGGCCGCTTCACGTTTTGGGCCTTTCGGGACAGTGATCGGCATCTGTGCAAAAAAAAAAATTACCCGTAAAAACTAAAGTTTTTCACTATAAATCCTTTATATGCGTGGCGGCTAGAGTCCTCTCGTCCTCTGGCTTGAGATGGCTGCCACCTATGGGTCAGATGATTGCTTGCCACCATTAAGCAATTGGTAATTAAATATTTTTAAAAAAATTCCTAAAAAGTGTCAAAAAAATTTGGAAAACATTTTTTCACGAAAATACATTGTCACGCACAACGAGTCTGTGTGCAAAATGTCAGCTCGATTGGATCACGGGAAGTGGGTTAAAAAACGACCGAAAGATTTGCACGGTCGTAAGCGTGCAAGCAAGTGAACTTAATATAAATGATTTAAGAATCTTGCAAAAAAACTGCGAAAGCTCACCGCAGCAAGGAGTGCTCAGTTATACTGGTAGGAACCTCCTGGTTACACCAGCCCACAGGGGATTATTGTGTCCGTCCGTCCGTCGTGGAGGGAGGGGCTGGGTGGGGAGGGGAGGGTGGGGAGGGAAGGGGCTGGGTGGGGAGGGGAGGGGAGGGTGGGGAGGGGAAGGGCTGGGTGGGGAGGGTGGGTGGGGCTGGGTGGGGGTGTGAGGGGTGGGGCTGGGTGGGGAGGGGCTGGTCATCCCGTGGTGTCCTTATAAACTCAACGTTTAACCTACTCACGCCGGCTTGTGCCCGCCCTCACAGTCGGCCATATTTGCGGAATACACCACGCCGCCGTTGACCCTGGCCATTGACCGAGCAACCCAACGTTCCCACCAGCTCCTTCCGCAGCAGGAATGTGTTTGCCTCCCCGTGTAATTGACTGGCCAGACGGCTTCGGGTAAACGCCGCCTTCATTCCGACTCGACACCTGTTTCTAGCCCGAGGCCAGAGCGATTTCCTGTTTCATTTACGGCACAGATGTCTCTGCAGGCGGACACAATGATCAGTCACTGTGTAACAAAAGCATATTTGATTTTTGTTTCTGGGTAGTGTTATTTTCCAATTGCTTATGCCTCAAAAGTACAGGAAATGGCTATTATTCCCCACAAACTTTGCTTTTGTGACCAGGACAGTGATATTTTGAAATGTACCTATTTTTGATGAGAAAACGTGTGCTTTTGTGTCATGCTTTTGAGACATAAGCAATTAGAAAGTAACACTTACTACCTAGGAACAAAAATCGTGTTACATAGTACAATTATTATAAGGCACAGTGTGCAAATCCGCAACGAGACTCGCACTTATTACAGAATAACAATTACATTTAAAACGACAGGAATGTTTTTTTTGTTATGTAAACTTTACGCTGAGATGGAAGGTCCCAATGTTTCGGCTGGCTGGCCTTCTTCAGGAAATGTCTATGCTGAGCTGCTCACATTGGACATCTGTGAAAAACGAGCTTTATCGCTCATCGGATTCCTCCAGTCCAAATATTTATGAAGGTAAAGGTGCAGCCCTGCAAGTGCAGCGGTCTCACGCCACTGCTGGCATGCATATGGGCCAATCGTTCATTCCCACACCTCATTAGAGAATGTTATAATCTAGTAATAGCATATCACTCAAATTGATATATATTAAGCCAAGACCTAAATACACATGCGCATGTCTTGTGCGCACTCATAAATCTTATTTAAACCATTGTGAAGTAGATATATATATAGTTCGGTGGGTTGAGGCTTTTTGTCCTGGTGCTCATGCGGTTGTATTTAGCTGCAGTAACCCGAAACATGGACCTCGACTGGGGGACACTCGGCTGCACCTCATCCCGATTGTGGCTCATGCCATCATTTCTGTGAGCACCAAGACAAAATAACGCCACTTAGCCCACCCTCGCCGACAGAAACATAGGCAGGGTGTAAACTGGTAACTTTAATTTGTGTTGGCTGTAACTTGTATAGGGCAGGCAACGTGAACAATATTGGTCTGTCTATTCATGAATAATCTCAGCTGTTCCCCCCCCCCCGCCACCACACAAAAATAAACACAACGCGCGCGCTTGTTTAGATTGTAAATTGATTTTTGTGGTAAACGTAATTGGGAGTCTCGTGTAATTGAAATTACACTGCCCAGCAGAGGAACGGGTTTGACACCACATTACCACGAACACCACTTAATGCTGCTGCCTCCTGCCACAGGAATGTGGAATGTCCACAATTCGTCACGATATCACCAACGAAGCGCTTCTCGATTTAAAGCTTTCGTGACTGCAGGGATTCATCTTCTTGGTTCTTTCGGTAAAGTCACGTAGAATGGAAATAATAAAATAATAAAAATAAAACATAATAAAATAATTCTCACGACGTTTCGGCCACAACGCAAGCAGCCTTCGTGAGAATTATTTTATTATGTTTTATTTTTATTATTTCCATTCTACGTGACTTTACCGAAAGAGCCAAGAAGATGAAGCACCTCTCCTTGCTTGCGCACTCACACGCTTTAGCGTAGGCGCAACCCTGCATCTACTTGCTCACGTCACTGCTGGTGGAAGGACCTCCATTAGACGGGAGTTCTGGAGAGCCCTTACTGAGGGCATTTTGGCCTACTCTTCTACACCTGCCAGACGTCTTGCCGGTCGATTACGGTGTACCAATTGACACGACTGGGCCGACATGCGAAGGAATTTCATCCGTCGCGACCTGCTCGTGCGACGTGTTCCACAGCACAAAATACGTCATCGTAATTCCATTCACTGTCATCCGGACTATCCTTGAGGTGTCTCGCGCAAACCTTTTTATTTCATGACCGGGACTCAAGTCCCCCCCCGCCCCACAACTCACGTCAGACGCCCCTTGGTTGAGTTTGCACGCGAGACTTCCTGGGAAGAAAACCATTTTCTCAAAACTTTACTCCATGTCGACCTTCCAGGGGGCCAACGCTGAAATTAGAGATTTCGATCGGAGCATTTGGGGGACACGTGCCACCCCCCTGTGGGGGCCAACCCCGACCTGCCAGGGCGCACTCTGACCTGTGGGGGCCAACCCCGACCTCCCGAGGCCCACTCTGACCTGCTGGGGGGGATTAGGTCCGACTTTGAAGGGCCAGAAGTCATCACACCCCCCCCCCCCCCCCCCCGTTGTTTTCCGGTCGGCTCGCTCAGTCTCCCAGCGCCCGCTGGACTTGGAAGGGCCCTCCCAAGTCCGTGGCCCCAGCTTCACCGCCGCTGCTGCAGCCAGGCAGCTCGGGGGCTGTGGCACAACAGACCGTGCCAGAGCTGCAGCGGTGTGTGTGTGTGTGTTCTGTAAAAAGGCTCCATAGAGGCTGGGTGATGTTGAAATCGATGCTTCAAAAATTACTTTTTGGAAACAAAATCTACACGTGACGAAAGCACCCACGTAAATGTTTTTTTTTAATCGAGGCATACTAAGGATCTAGATTAATGACGGAATAACAGCCAATGCAGTGGATACGCCCCGCAGTGATAGGCCATGGAGATGGACCGATGAAAAAAGCATCACGAGTTCGTGACGGATGACATCTTGGGGAGGCCTTTCTACAGCAGTGACGTGGCCGAGCGCTTTCCTCTTGTTGCAAAGGTTCGTAGTTTGAGCCCGGTGAGCGCCCTGGTTGTTGCTGCAGGTGCATTTAACAACAAGAATGCACGACGTCTGTGTCAGAGTCGCCGTTAAAACATCCGGCGATTTTATTTGGAACATTGGTAGGCCACGTGTGCCAGGTGTCACGGTCCAAATTTACGAAATTTCAAAATTAACTGCAAATTACGTAAATACCTAATTTGTCAAAATATCATGCAGTGGATAGATGAGGACTGATAAAGACGGTTAAGGGTTGTATTTTTTATTTATTTGTTCAGGGTTGTGTGATTGTGTTAAAGAAATCTAGTGAGCGACGTGGTTGTTGTTGTTGGGTGGGCCGGGGACCATTGTCCCAGCGAGCTCAAAATCTGCCCAGTGTACCGAAAATACCAACGAGCGTGCATCCACACTCGCACACACACACTGGGATAATTGATGTGGTATTAACGACACCTCCGATGTAGAATTCCGCTTTATCACAACCATTGTTGTTTCAAGCTTCAGCAGCACATTATCGCCGATTAAAGCCCGCGGCAGGGCCACCGTGGCACAATGCGCCGCTGTTTAACGCCGCCCTCAGCGCAACGCACTTCAATGCATTTACATATCCACGCAATCGCTCGCTTGACTTGTGACCAAAATTCTCGTGGCCTGGACGGCGTTCAATAGAACGTGACTCTGAACGGTCATTAATTGGCGCTGCTGCAGGGTTGTTCTTTTGTCAAAGTGGAAATTTCGGCGTTTGCTTGTATTTTATCACCCCCCCCCCCTCCAAAGATAAACAATAACTCGGTTTTAATAAACGATGCATTAAATATGCATAATGCGCATTCCACAGACCCGTGATGTAAGGTTTGGACAATGCACAATATACACAAAAGCATTTTATTACATATCACCGTTTCGTTATGGATCGCGTGTCTGCATTTTTCATTTTTGTAAAAGTGTAGTTTGCCCTCCGCAGCGCTCTCACATCTATAGGGAGTATTCTAATTAAGATTCCACAGTTAAACCCAGAGGAAACGGGCTTGCACATTAGGCTTGGCCTTCCATATGGCGCAACATCAAAATGAAAAATGTTCCATACTTAATAGCACTATTAAACAAAAAAAAGATGAGAGTTTACATAATGCTTTTGCTTTGTGCTGTACTTATAATTCCAATCGCGCAAATGTTAATGTTGCGCGTCTGCACACAAAGTCTGGAATGACGCCGAGATTAATATCACGAAAAAATCCCAGAAACGTTTCGGTTTAAAAGCATGCGGACGTGTGGGCGTAATGTGGTGAAGAAGTCAATCTGGGAAGAGATTTTCGTGACGTAATGCTCGCTGCTGCTGCTGCCGCCGCTCAACTCGGACTCAATGTGACTCGCAACGCGCCTCGCCAAACCGGCGCAGCGACGGTTCGCTACGACCACGCCGTCCTGCCCGTTCCCTGGACACGCTCCGTGGGGGACGTCACACACGCCTGTGGGTCGGTGACGGGCTTAGACCCCCCCCCCCCGCATCTCAATTCTTAGTCCCTGCGTTTGTCAATTCTTAGCCCCCGCGCGCGGATAACGCGAAGTGGCCGCGATCAAACAACCCCCACGGCAGGCAGGGGACACGGCGTGGGGGAGGGCCTTCACCCAGTGGCGGACTGACAGTGGGGACCGAACGTTATTTATAAGGGCGAAGTAAAAACCAGAAAAACGCGGTGCGAGCGAGCGGGCTCATTTACGGGACGATCGCCGTTTGCGTCCACTCTTGTCGGCCCTCTCCTTTGAGTGTTTCTTCTTGTGAGACTTCTTCTTTTTCTTTTCCACTTTGCGTTTTTTGCGTTTGTGCCTGCGCTCATCCTGGTCGGAGTCGCTGTCGTCCTCCGACGACGATGACGAGGACGATGAGGAGGAGGAGGAGGAAGTCTCCTTGGACCTCTTCTTTTTCTTCTTTTTCAGTTTCTTATCCTTATCCTGAGAGGGGGGTTACCAGAACAGAGATGATTAACGAACGCTGGGAGCAGAAAACGAACTGCAGCACACGCTGCCTATTGTTGCGTCCCTACGGAGCGTCTTAATTCACACCCACGGCGCTGTGGCAGATGATTAAGGCCTGGGGAAGGTCTTTGTCCGCTATTGGATGACTCATAGCTGATGATGAAATTCCGGATGAGCTGCATACTGGGTGTATAAGCGTGTAAAATATATTCGTATGAACTACGTGCAACAATTATATGCATTTTGAAACAATACGCATGGCAATTTGGCTGTACAGCTTGAATTGACGTGAGAATTCCTCCATTAAAAATAAATATCTTGGAGAAACACAAAGTGATATTACACACCGTGCGGAGAACTCACACTCCCGCTATTACAAGTTTAACAAGGCCCATACTCTGTGTGTACATTTCATGATAAGCGCTACCATCCCTGTGCTCTCATCATAATTAAAGGAGTAGCACCCCGAGTATGAAATGTACACACGCACCCATTGTCTCATAGCAAGTCATGGCAACGCAATTGGAAAAAGTTACCAGATGTGTGTGTGCATGCATTTGGTTCACGAACGCTGGAACTCAGTTTGACCCGGGCGAAAAAGTTAAATTGGCAACAGTGAACTTTTTAAAGGGGTAACACACAATCACGTCTGCATAGTGTTACATGTTTCACGCACAATAGTTTAATCAGAGTACATGTGTTGACATTTACGAACAACTGTGGACATTGACATCATGTGTGTCAATAGACGGGTCTTGAATCGATTGCAAAACTTGTCTGAAATTAAATCGTACAGCGGAAATGTTAGGATCGAGTAAGAAGTGGGTCAAGTCGCCACCGGCTGACACTTGGGGCTCTCACATCCATAGCCTCAATGTGAAATCCACATGGCATCAACAACTTTGTAGAGGTAACCTTTAGTGTGTGGTATGGGTCAGAGGGGCAACTCTATATTAAAGAATGCTGTGGCCTTTGAAGGCAGATGGCTGCAGAGAATGCTGAGAATTGCATAGCTGCATAGGGGAGATGACCTGAAAGTTAGGGATAGAATATGGGGGTAAAAACTTTGTAGGTTTAATCGCAGCAAGGAAGTTTTGACGGAGGGGGGGGGGGGGCATGTGCAGCATGGAGGAGGGCAGGTTACCGACCGAGACAGGATTGGAGTGGCACCCAGTGGTCAGTGACCAGGGGCAAGATCTAAAGCCAGATGTATGCAAGAGCAGCCCACAGATGTCAGGTGTGGACTGCCCAGCTCCCACATGATCTGGCAGCAGGAAGTGATGGTGAGATGTGCTGGTATTAATGGTGTTGGCCGTGTTGAGCTTTTTAATTTCACCCCGATGTCTTCTCAGGTTCCCAAAGGAGATGCCACTGAATGAGGGGGGGGGGGGGGGCACGGGGAGGCCCCCATAGAATCACCACTGGCACTGAAGCCATTTCATGTCTAAATGTGAAGCCATGCAATTGCTTGCGAGCGCCACTCCGAGTGGAAGGGCCCCCCCACCATAGGCAACTCTGGACACCCCCTCTAGAGGGTATTTGGCCTACTCTTCCACGCCGGTGAGAGGTCTTGAAAGTGGTGGGAGTAGCCACGCTTCACCCACTACGTGTAACCTGCCAATCGACCGTCGTGTTCCCATTTGTACTGCTGGATGGGGTGGATTTGACAACACTTGCACCATTGTTGCAACTGCGAGTCCAGCGTGCTAACCACCACAACGTGGCAGCATGCGTCTCTCATTTGAGATGTAAATGGCTATAATTGGCAGTCGGTCTGCTTGTTACAGCACAGCTGCAGTGCTCCGTGACCCGATACAAGGCGGGATGGCCTAGGCAGCCCTCCTCCCATTAACACAGCTGCCGGGCTAATCTTAAAACGTGATAATTTAATCACCACTCACTCGCCTGTCGACTAAACGGCCTTGCACCTGCCACTGGATGGCAAATGTGTTGCAATGCACCGAATGATGGCTCAGACGTGCATAAAATAGACAATGGCCCGGGTGTTTAGAACAAAGACCGATAGCTTAGATGCAAAGAACAGATGGGGGTCTGAAAAATCTGGGTCAAACTGTTGTCTTGAAAATTGCTCTTCAGTGGCCATGTGTCATTGTGTGTAAATTGGTATATTAGATCCCGTTTGTCTGGACCAAGCTGGTGAAAAATTAACACAATCATTCAACTCCTAATACAGCTCTACAACAAAAACTAATATCCCCGAGAGGACATTCGTTGCAGAGATGGAGCGAATAAAACCAGCTCGTGTATAGGGATCGTTGCATCGCAGAAGCACGTGAGATGGGGAGGCCTTCATCCAGCAGTGGATTGATCAGAGCTGATGAAGATGATGAACAAATTGACCAGTCCTTTGCTTGTGATGAGTTAGCATCCACACCACACGTTATCGTACTTACTGTTATGTACCCGTGACCAGCAATGGATGTACTTAATGGGTCTAGACACGTGCACGTACACGGCTTTACGTATCGGCTTCATTTTAAAAAGCCGCCAGTCTGACGTGTTATCTTCAAGGCAAATTGTTATTTTTTTTACAAAAAGCATTTCACGACCAAACCGAGATGTTGAGTCTTTGCATTTTTATCTGATGAGCCATGTAAAAAGCAAACAATTTGCATGGCCCACGCGATGGGTCATTGCAACCTCCCCTCTCTCGGTGGGCGTTTAAGAGACAGATAAGACCGGCCACAGTAACGGAACATACGTGCCTTCATTTCTCCGCCTGCTTAGCGGAGACGAACCGACCTGCCCTCGCGCCAGCCAAGGGAAATGTATTTATGAACCGCACGCTCCCATAATAAAAAAAAGCTCCGCGGGAAGATATCATCGTCGTCGGGCACGGCCAATCCGCTGCTGGATGAGGGTCTCCCGTAGCCGCGTTGGTCAGGGGGGTTCGTTTGACTATCCGTCGCTATGCTGGCGAGGTGCGGGTGGGTGAAGGCGCGGGCGGGCGTCACGGACGGGCATCACAGACGTGCGAGCGTGGACGTACGTTACAACAAAGGACCCTGGTCGCACTGTCCTCGGCTGTCCACCACATAGTCCCACATCCTACAACAGCTGTTATGTCTGGTGGTCAGCCATACAAGCACCGTCAAGGCTGCCGAGCCCTTAGCTTCTGAGGTCTGACGAGACGGAGTGCATTGCCGGTGATTTGGTCATAGGCATATACACGCTTTTTGATCACTTTGCTTATCACGTTAACAAAAAAATGTCTTTATCAGCGAGAGCCTCGCTGACTCTCAAGGCTGGTTTTCAGGAGGGTCTTGAATTGGTATGTTAGGCCGATTCCGTTTAGCAAAGAGTTTTTTTTTGTTATAAGAAGGAACATTCCAATAGCTGAGATTTGGTTGCGATTGTAAGCTTTATTATTCACATGTGTCTAAGATTTCTCACACCGGTTGTCACGCAGGCCTGATTTAAGCCAACTTAAGAATAAGTTGCGGACGTTTTGCCATTTGTGCGTATGAAATGGAGCCGCACAAATTTAAATGGGAGGGAGCTTGCGCGCGCGAGCTCACTGCTCGGTCAGTGCATTCCGCGCTGTCTACACACGGCTTTTTTGGATGAATGAAATCGCGGCCGCCCTCACCCTTTGCCCACCCGCGTTTTCCATCCACTTCCCGAAATGGCTCGGACAGTGGAACAAACAGGAATCGACGCTTAAATACCCTGGCCGGGATCCGAATGCTGCTTCGGCAAAGTGTGGCAGTGCGCTCGTAACTCTCACCCGTCCCCCACCGTTCACTTTGCCTGTCACGTGACACAGCCAATGAGGCTACGGGCTCAGGATCATGCCACATTCGCCGGGCTGTTACAATTGGCACAAGGGTCACATTGGCACTGCGTCGAGAAGCTCGCTGTATTTTGAAACCAGTGCCCCAAGACCCAATGCTCATGTTATCAATCGTCACTGCAAGAGGCCCTCACAGTGACACAAGTGACCGACACACTGTCACACGTTTCCTGCACACCAGAAACAGACACACACTCACCAGACACACTACCACATATACACCAGTACGCACAATGCAGTCCACGCACACCGTACACGTAAACACACCTGTTATACACAACGTCATACACCGGGGGAGAGATGTTTCTGAGGGCCCAATAGGACTTTCATATACATTGTACATTGACACACACACACACAGGGCCCTCTTGCAGCGACACGAGTGACTGAGCACGCAAAACAAAATCGAAAAATGCAGTTCCAATACATTTCCCCGTCGAGTACCCGATTAGCGCAGCTAAGGTGCTCATTGCAGCGACGAATACATGTCATTGGGAGTGACAGGCCTCATGTACAAAGGGCCAAGAAAATGAAGTTGTGGGCTAAATTGGGCCGGCAGGGCCATAGGTTCCCGACGCCTGGGCTAAGGCCACCCGAATAGGCAACAATGCTGACTGCACAATGCCACAAAAAGCAAAACATTGCCGAATCGCCCTTTCACGGCAAGGTTATAATTAAATTAGCAACGCCGGTTAACGTTTGGTCACTTAACACAACAATGGATCGCCGCGGGCTCTGGAGACGTATAACTTTATTTCATTCAAGCCGCAACTACCAATTGCTTTGGCTCAAGTGCGCTTATGATTTATGGCAATGAGGCGACACTCGAAATGAGAAACACTGGCACGTCAAATAACTTGCATTTATTCATACTAACAAGCAGCCAAATGCATTGTCTTCAGCTACGAAGACGGACAGGCTCCCATCGCTCGTGCATTGACGTGCGATGCAGAAATCCGCATTCGCAACGTAGGCGGCAAGGGGTGTGCTTTGGGCCAAGAAGTGGCAAGCTTACGCCAGATGCCTCTTGACATTGACACCAAGGGATACGTTTCCAAGGGAGCTTGCGAACCAACAAAGTGAATCCGCTCAGTTGCCAATCGGTGAAACTATTGTAGACATTACTCCTTTGACAACGTAAATGGGATAACTTTCATCAAACACACACACGCGCGTGCACGCATCAGCCTACGTTTGGATTTACAAGCCCATAAAGATGACTGGAGGGGAGCAGCGGTGCAGCGGTTCGTTAATTGCGCTCTGAATCTGGCGATGTCCGTTCGATTCCCAGCCATGGCTACTACCATCAGTGGTAAAACAACCCCCCTGACTGACAGGGCATGGAGAGGCCCTCATCCAGCAGTATATTCTCAAAGGGCTGTAAATTATAAATATTACGAAAATTCTACCTTTGGAATCTTAACATCCGATGGTGTCGGAGCATATTATTCTGAATAAAGAGTGCAACAGGTGACGTAAAAATTAAACATTAACAGGGCTATTGAAGGGAGACCAGTAGCCAGAAGCACAAAATACAATAAGTTGCATATCCATTTGTGTTCGCCACCTAACGCAGTTTAATAAGAGAAAAAGATGTACTCAAGCAGCCACAGGTGTTTGTGTAGGTGTGAAACCGTGAACAGCAATCCATTCACGAGGTCTCCGTTGATAGCAGCAATCAATAGTCCAAAGGCACTGATAAAGTGGCCAAGGCGGTGTTGTTTTACAAGCGTGCATGTGTATCGCTCCCATTGGACACGGGGGAGCCCATGCAATTAGGAAACCTGTTTGCATGCTCTTTAGCTTGTTTGCCCTTGCCAAATAAAAAAATACTGCATACAAGGAACTAGCAAAGGGTTAAGTAAACCTAGCGAGGCCTTAACTGAGCATTCAGCGAAAACTGGAAGGTGAATAAAGTGTTGAGAACACAGGTTTTCAAGACTCGGGCACTCTCAACGCGAGGCAGGAGCAAGTGGCGTGCATCGTGAAAACGAGAAGGGCGAGAGACGGATGTCGGGCAGCGCGCGACTGGATCGTGTCAGAAACGAAGAGACGAGCGAGAAGGCAGCAAGAGCTATGGTGCCCATCTCAGCGAAGCGAAAGAAAATCGACCACGGAAGCGTCGAGCTGGAAACCGAGAGGCAGGCATAGGAAGAGGTGGATCTAAGTCAGTGCTTCCTAACCTTTATTGCGGCCTGCATCACTCCCCTTCCCTTTGCTTCTCAGAGAGGGCATCTCGCATACCCAGGGGGTGTGTGCATGCACCCCAGGTTAAGAACCACCGATCTAAGTGGTGAGCGAGGACGTGAAGGGCCATGGAGTGGATGTGGAGATGATGGGCCCGGGGCAGGATTGAGAGGAGGGGACCGAGAAGGCAAACCCCGCACGAGTGCGGAAAATTCCAGGAACAAGGAGGTTGTCATGGTGGAGTTATTTCTTCTGCCGTGTGGCGGAGAGTCGATCGGCAACACTGATGTGTCTATGGTGAGGTGAGCCGGTGGACGGCTTGAGAGGTGGCCTGGTGAATTGTCTGAACCGCTGACGGTGAACAATCGTAGCGGTCAGTGGAGTTAATCTGTGGTCCGTAGTTCGAGACTGGTGACCACAGCGGGGGGGTTACTGTAACTGTATAAACGTGTCTCGTGACACAAACCACTTGTACCAAACGAGAGCCTGTGACAAGACACCGCCCCCACAGCCCACAACCCAATGCACAAGTTATTTCTGGACATAAAGGACATCATTGTGGTCTATGCCAAGAAAGAGTAGGGCACGTGCGCCAGTGCCAGGGGTTAAAACAATACTCCTGTGTTGGCGGTTAGCACCGTGCACTTTAGTGGGCATCTCCGACAGTTATTGCTTAAGTGGTTACTCATGCTTGGAAGTGAAAAAAAACGTGGATTTCGTTTTAACGAAAGTCTACGATGTAATACGTCGAGACCAACGCTGCGACGTGCGGGGGGCGCGCGGTTCGAGCTGTCGTGAAAGCGGGTCGTTGTCACTTCAACGTTGCACCGTGTGCTAAATTGCTACAATACTCCTCGGGGTGAGGTTGACCTTGCACCACGCAAATTCACTTTTGGGTAAAAAGCAATTCTGTTTTTTGGCACAACTCCCAACACTCTTTGCGAATGCGTTTGCTGGTGAAAATTGGATACATGTGCACGTAAAGGCCTTTTTCTATCCACTGCTGGATAAGGGCCTCTTCATTCAGCCGTTGTGGGTCGTACGGGTTAATTGACCATACTTCGCCACGCTGGTCTGTGTGAGTTAGTTAAGATGGGAAGCGTAGATGTGGGGGCACGGAAGCTCAGTACAACAATGGATTTTGTCATACTGCCCTCTGCTGCCACTGGGTAGCCCTGCAGCCAATAACACCTATTACACATGGTGGCCACCAATCCAAGGACTATCCAGGCTCAACCCTGCTTGGCTTCCGAGATCTGACGGCATTGGGCACGCTCCCAGTGAGCTGCTAATTTGTTTATCGTGAGATGAATAAGTTTCTACGCGGAATTCTTGCAGTGGCCATTGCACCACCTTGTCTGAGAAGGGGCACGTAGGATGAGAGAACCTCTCAGAATAACACTTCCATCACACTCGTGAGACCTGTTTTATTGTCCTGGCAAAGAACATGTGTTCCACAGTGCTCAAACTAAAACATTTCATTCTCAGGGGTGCAATTAAATATTAAGTGAGTACTCATTCTATGATTGTCCAGTGTTGCTAACTCCTTCAAGTACAGTCACCAAACAAACCTCAAGAGTACTCTTTGGTTCTTTCGGTAAAGTCATGTAGGAAGAAAAAATAATAGATCACAGGTGAAGACGATTGCTTGTGTGGCGATCGAAACGTCGTGATCTATTGTTTTTTCTACCTACGTGACCTTACCGAAAGAACCAAAGAGTATGGATTCCTGCAGTCACGAAAGCTTCAAATCAAGAAAAGGTCATCAAATGTCACCAGATAGACATCTAACGTCATGAAAATCGCCAATGAACAATCAACCTAGTAGCACACAGAGGAAACTGACACAGGATCATCAATACATACATGGAATCACTCCTAAATGTGCATAAAAGTCACCAGATGTGTCACTAGTCGCTTTGAACAACTTTTATCGCTTTAAAAAAAAAATTGTCGCAAGGAAACCCAAAAAAGTCACAAGATATAGGGACGTAAATCGCTGAGAGTCGGCAGACAACTCCGCAGCACCAACAGTGATGTCTGCTTAACGTTCTGACACAGGATGAGACCCGAGCCACCTTCGGCAAGGGCAAATGTTAATAAATCCGTTGACGCTGAGCAGTGAAAGGGCCCACACAGCTGATGGCGCCGTGCGTTTGGCAGCGAGCGAGGCCGAGCGGCGCATCGCAAGTCGGTGGGAAAGGGCCTTCGCGGGCGCTTCCAGATGCCGCACACGCCCCGCCACTTGCCCGCAGGCATCACGGCGGTCTGAAGCGCCGCGCTTTATTTGCGCCCAAGGGTTTAGGAAAGTCGCACAGCTGGCGAAAGAGCCGGGACCACCTGCCACACATATGCGACGTTGGCGCCGCCACTGCCGCCGGTGATGAACTGCCGCGCGGGAGAGTGAGGGGGGAGGTGGGGAGAGTGGGGGGGGAGTGGGGACGCGGTGCCCTTTTGCCGAGTGCCCCGTATGGAATCCCGACCAAGGGCACAAGCGAGCACGGGGCGCAACGCGACACCAGCGCCACGCGCTTGCTTGTCGCGGCCCACGGGAGTAAGAACGCCTCGCCATGATGACTGCCCCCATTAAAAAAGTTAACGATTGACAACTAAGCCTGGGGGGCGTTATGCACTAAACCTATCCGTCTGCCTATCTGCAGACGGATGCACAGAGCTGGCGCATAATCTCATTTGAGACTCATTTTTAGCTCTTTTCGTTATGAAGTAAGCCTGAGTTCTACGTACGTTAGAGTTCTCTGGCGGCCCTGTAGGACAGATGTGGCCAGAAAAGGTTCATCGAGTGTAGCCGCCACGGTATGGCTCTTCAAAACATAAACAGATACATTTGGTGAAGGAGATGGAGATCAGAGAGCTGCAGACAAGGTATAAAGATGAGTGAGATGAAAACAAGATAAACAAGAGAGATGAGAGGGCTGTAGACAAGAGGTACGCAATAGTGGTCACATGTACAGTCGTTATGACGTTTCAGTGCCATGTGATGTCATAACGTCTGTACACACGACACCGTGATGATGCGTCGCCTGCCAACACACGCTCGTCGTATTACGTGGCCCACTGCAAAATATAGTTGGAAGGACCATACCGCGTACAATGGCACATACGTAAAACACAACCATCCACACTCCTGATGAGAGAAAACGGGTCAAGTGCTGCAGGCGGGCATGTGTTTGTTGAGTGGGTTCGTTCCTCGACGCTGAAGTGTCCCTGAGCGAGGCCTCATCACTCCACGGAAAGCCTCTCAAGCTCTCCATTGTGTGTGGGAGATCAAATAAAAACTGTTGGATGATCATGCCTCTTGAAGGTTTGGCTCACCGAGGATGTGGCACTGATCAGTGACACGCTGCCACCTATTGGAAAATTATATTTTCTACCACGAGAGAAAAAGGTGCATGTTCAGCCCTCTTGTCAATCCACTGCTGGATGAGGGCCTCCCCGACAGTGTGTGGTGCGTTGGAGTAATTTGACTCCTCCGACATGGCATAACAGTTTGCATTCTGAAGCCTGTGTTGATGATTGGGCAAACAGGTTAGGTGTTCATCAGGGCCATCTCAGTCACATTGTGTTGCTGGTGGCATGGCCTGGTTGGCATGGGCTATGGTGCAATTACGTTGCCGGCACGCGACAACGACTCCGCTGGCGTGCTGCTGGTGCCGTATATGAAGGCAACGGCCAATCGACCTCACCCCTCCCTCCCTCTCACCTTCTTTCTCTTCTTGATGGGCCCCGGCGCCAGGCTTGGGGTTGCGGCCGGCGCTTTTCTCGGGTTGCTGATGGGCATGGCATTGGCGCTGTCGAGCGGGACTCCACGCGGCACGCTAACGGGCTTGGCGCTCGTGGCCCTGACGTCCCCCACGTCGTCGGGGATCAGGTCGTACTTTGTGCCGCCGGGCACCGAGAAGCAGTCCTTGGCGAAGTGACCTGCAGGGGGAGGGGTGGGGGGTCATGGGAATTTCCCACGATCGTTAATGCAATCGGCATGTTTTACTTCATAGTATCAGATCTGTGGGTTTAATTTAGACATTCTCTCATTGAATAAAGCAGTCAAACGTTTAGTCACCCTTTGTTATTAATTGCTGATGTGAAAGGCGCACAATTTTAGGTCAACCAATCGGCAAACTCAGCCAATATTTCGTGTACATATATATATAGCCAGTCATTTTTGTTGGTCTCCTTTCGTGCACTCCAGTCTCTTCTGCCACTACTAAATTATCTAGTTCCAAGTCGTGAATTTCATCTCGTCAGACACGTCATGCTTTGTCTTTGGTGGGCGACGGTAGTCATCGTCAAACTTGATGATTTTCATCCTCTCAGTCATTAATTGATTCAAATCAAATACGCTACCCCGATGAAGGTTTTCATCACGGCTCCTCGTCTGCTGATCAAGCACACAGCTTGCCAGCGAAAGTTGCAAATGTATTTAATGTAATCTGCCAGGGTCGGTGCGGTAGCTTCGGCTCTTAAATTGGGAGGCGGGTGTCAGATTTAAGACTGAGGCTTAATTTAGGCCCGGCCCAGTCTGGGCGATCTGTCGCGCCTTGGGGGATGGGAGAGATAATCGTTCGCGTTCAAATGGCCGAGAGGGGTGAACAAGGTCGTACGATCGATGTAGCTACTCGGGTTCCCTCGCTTGTCCGTCCGGTAACAGCACGCGTGTGCACAGCGCCCTCTACTGGTGAATCGAGTGGCTTTGGACACACTTCTGTCAGAGGTCGCAACCGGGTACCCGATACCCGTACCCTACCCGATACCCGGCTACCCGTACCCGGCAGGGTACCCTGGTGCGGCCGGGTACAGGTACGGGTAGGCCGTGAGTCACTGGTGAGTAATTGTTTGTCACTCATTTCCCAACGTCTTGTCTCTTCTCACAATTCAAGTTCCTAGAATCAACCCAACCACGCCTGCAACATGGCTTCATCCCAGAGGTCGCAATCAGGTACCCTATACCCGTATCCCTACCCGTACCCGGCCGGGTACGGGTAGGGTACGGGTACGGGTACCCGTTTGCGACCCTGGTGCGGCCGGGTACGAGTAAGGAATCAAAACCCGTTTGCGACCTCTGTCTTCTGTACAGTTCCACGTTCTCACAGGTTCATGGAAAATTAAAAAAACACCAAGTATGTGTGTGTGTGTATTTATATTCCAGGCTGTAAATGATCCCTGTGTGATCATGCTACCACCTGGTTATAACATCATGGGTAATTTCGATACATGCCAATTCCATACAGGTCAACAGAGGTTTATTCAACGGATACGGATACATCACAATGCAGTCTGGATTTGCGTAGCATCTAAATGTGATCGCATATAATGATACCATGCTGAAAAGGTGTGAATATTTATTTTAGGCATAGGAAGAGGGAAAAAAGATGTTCTGAGCTTGGACGTGGTCAGGGGCATGGAGTCGACAGCACGGAGGGCTGGGGGTACGGACCGAGTTGCATCGTGGCGTCAAGTTGCGCCTGTCACAAGCACTGAGGCGATGTCACCATCACCGAGAGAGATGAAGAAGAGAGTGGCGAATGGCAGCTGTTGTCATTGTCGTGGCTGTGTTTGTGGTGGGGTGGTGGGGAGGAGGCGGTAACCTTTGCAGCCACACTTGGTGCACGTGGTGCTGAGCACGGCTCCCAGCTGTATACGGTCGGCAGAGAAGTCTCGGAACTTCCTCTTTCTCCTCTCATCCTGCCTGCAATGAATGTTAGCCTCTCAGCACATCCATACAGCCGCCAGCCACTTAACAGAAATCAAAACTAGAAAAATAATAAGCATGTGAAGATGCGTCAGCGATTAAAACCAATTGTCGCTCACAATAAAAAAAATGGTTATCCATTTATAGATACCGATTTCTAATGATCATCTCTCTTCTCAACTGGTGATTGATTACAACACAGTCCGCTAATCACTGCGCCATCGGTCCACCCGCTAAGATTCATCGATTAAATCGTATGAGCAACAATTAAATTATGGAATTTAGATGTAAAAGCATAGATTAGTGAATAAAATCATGACCTGGATTTACAACTAGAAAAATAATATCAAATTGCTGGGTGGGGCACGATTTGTTATATGTTCAAAATAGATTATCATGAAAAAAGTTTTGACAATGGTTTGGATTTGCTCACTTCCACCAGACATTTACAATGTTGTGCATTTGGTCTCCAACACACCGCTGTGCTGTACCAGTAACGAATTGGCATGTTCTGTTTACATGACAAACCTTACTAATAGGCTGTGTGGGTTGGTGGCGGCTTTTGTGACACATTTATATATTTACGCAATCTAACCCAAAAAACCTGTATTATGGATGATATTGGTTGCAAAAGCCTACGTATTAAACTCGACGTTAAACGTTAGTATAAGCTTGAAAGCATTAACGGAGTTCGACACAAGTCTTGGTTTCTTCAAATTCTAAATTATTTCAATTGCAAACTTACTTTAAGCTAGAGTGTTTCACTACTCAAATAAGTCATGTAACGGACACTCACCTCTGTTGGCATTCCTCAGCCAACGCTGGAAACTACACATTCCCTGTAAGTAGCATTGCAGTCAATTACAACGTTGCATCATTAAAGGAATATAATTTCAGTGTTCAAGCGAGATGACTCACTCTAACCCCAAGTTGGATGGATCCAGATCCTTCCCAGTGCCCTGGTTCACCACCTTCATCGACAGGGCGATTTTCATCCCCTTTCCATCATCTTTATCCTGAAATTATAGCAGAAAAAAATACGCATTATACATTGCAGTGACTGGCGTGACATCTAGTGGCTGCAAGAATGATGTGCACTCATCGTGCAATTCTCAACTGCACACAAATAATAAAAAACACTCCAATCTTTAACTGGCTGCTCACCCAATCCGGACAAATTTCATGGTAGCAGCACTCAGTCTTCAAGATTCTCCATGGACTCACCCACACCTACTTTTCTCGTCTCATCTGGTTCTACTATGCTCCAGACATTCTCCACTCCAGCATGTAAACTTTCCATGGAAAACTCCCAGTCAACCTTCGCTCAGTGGCAGATCGCTCACTCTGCTCTGCTGTGCTCATATTTTGGAACTCCCTTCCACCAGACATCCGTGCTCTCGACTCCCTGCCCTTGTTCAGTTCCAGGATCAAGATTTTCCTTTTCCCCTTATGACTGATTGACTCTCTATACAAATAAATATGCCCACTGTCCGTGTGCGTCATCTAAAGATGTGGTTGCAGCACGATGATTAGGAAGCACTCCATGTCACGTGGATCACACACCGACACATACACAAGATGTCTGAATTTCAATTGATCATGTGTCATGCGGGGCTATTATTTAACAATCATCCGGAACGTGCAGCTTGTAATGACTTAATTGGTATTCGAACGCAGAAGACTGCTAAACATGGCAAGGCGGACTACACTGACTCGCGAGGACTGGAGTTTCAGAAGCCCTGCTGTAGAAGAAGCGTGAGAAGAGGGGAAACTTGACCCTCACCTCCAGCGAGATAACCTTGCACCAGACCTTTTCCCCAACGTCCACAACCTCCGCCGGGTTTTCCACGCGGGTGCTGCACATGTGGGACACGTGCACCAGGCCTGCAGATGGTCATGCCGGTGAGTGTGGCGTAAGCCTTTGGGTCTTTGCAATTTAATGGTACGGCCAGACAAAGCCCCCCTCGTTGTTTTGTTTGAATCAATCCACTGCTGGGTGAAGACCCCCTCAAGCTGTGTCAGTCATGGGGGTAGTTTGGCATACTTCATTCTTCATCATGCTTGTGAGTGCAGGTTGGTGTGGGGGAGTCAGGAGATGCCCAGGACCAGATCAGATATCACTCACCACTCAACATTAGCTCTGGCCAGGAATTGAGCTCAGGTGACAAGGTTCAGAGCAGAGTGCGCTTACCAATGCACCACCACTTTAAAAAAAGTACCCTCCAGTTTTTACACGATGCATGTAAGAAAAAATGTGGGGGTCAAATGCGACAAACTTCAACTGTTGAGTCATTTCAATAAATACTGTACAATCTTGAATGCTAAATAATGGGGTATGCATTAACTACATCCTTATGTAATGTACAGGTAACTCGGGAGTCCAAGTCATCTCATGTAAGGCCCTCAAGGAAATATTTATTTTTACACTCTATACACTACTTACCCCGCGCACAGCCTGCTATCAGTCTCAACCCTGTTCTCAGCGCCCACTCCGTGTGCCCCACACCTCTATCACCTACCCACATGTCTCCCAGTCCCCTACTCCCTGATGAGGCCCTCTCTTCCCACCAAAGGCCCATAACACAGTTTGCCATTAAACCCATTAGCCCCATCAACTTTGTTTATGGCACCACACCCCCGGGGCCCTGTGCTTATGGCCCTGTAAGCCACAGGTGCCCAACAACCCCCTCTGATGCTACACATTGCCAGCGCCTACATTTACATTTTAACTACATTGTTCCTTTGAACCACTGCACATACAACTATAAAAAAAACGTACCATGTTTTCTGAGTCCTGGTAGTTTCACAAATGCTCCATACTCCCTGACGGAAGCGACCTACGGAAAGACAACTTTCAGCATGACAAAACCATTACTGCATCACTTGATCACTTTACTCATAATGTCCAATAATGTGGAAAGGGACGCCTCACTGCATCTCAAGACTCGTTTCCACGAAGGCCCTGTTATTCTGGGCTGCTTGGCCATTTTTTTTATTATAGATAATATATCATAAGTTCCTTGTCAATCCACTGCTGGATGAAGGCCTCCTCCCCGCGCTGTGCCGTTCATGGAGGTTGTTTGACTATACTTCACTAAACTGGTCAATGCGGGTTGGTGAAGGAAGTCCAGAACTGGTTCTGATATCACTCGCTCCAGATTTTAGCCGTGGCCATGAATCAAACTGAGGTCTCTGGATTTACATCCCATCGTGCTAACTACTGGGCCAACGATCCAGCCCTGTTTTTTTTTCCTTTTTCGTGTTGTGCTAATGTGAAGAAACCAGAATACTGTACAGTATAGTACAAAATTCACGCACTGCAGGCGATAACAAAGTTAGGCAGACAGCTTCACAAACTCCTCTTCTGCACTGCCATCTCCTGGCCACTTCAAAGCGCAGTGGGTGTTGGGAGTTGACAAATTTGCAAATGATCCACTATCCCCTTACCTCCAGAGCGCCGCGCACGTGCGTGAGTGCAGTGAATACGAACGTGCGTGCGTGTGTCTACCTCTCCCTGAATGATGGAGTAGAGCTCAGGAAGCGCCTCCATGCTGATGCCTCTTCGCACTCACAGCGGTCACGCTGCACTCTGCAACACAACACAGACATACACACGCTGCACTCTGCAGCACATCAGACACGCTGCACTCTGCAGCACATCAGACACGTTGCACTCTGCAGGACAACACAGACATGCACACGCTGCACTCTCCTGCACAACAGACACGCTGCATTCTGCAGCACATCAGACACGCTGCACTCTTCAGCACAACACAGACATGCACATGCTACACTCTACACTTCTACAGCACAACAGACACGCTGCACTCTTCAGCACAAAACAGACACGCTGCACTCTGCAGCACAACACAGACACGCTGCACTCTTCAGCACAACACAGACATGCACACGCTGCACTCTCCTGCACAACAGACACGCTGCACTCTTCAGCACAACACAGACACGCACACGATGCACAGACCACGTGTCGCCGTCCTGTAACGATCCGGAAGAGAAACAATTCGCCTCTCGTACAGCAAGGCAACCCTTTGGTCCACGGAAGGGGATATCAGAGAGCTACCTCTGAGATCCCTCGAAGCCTCTAAAGTGATCTCTGGTCCACAGAGTATAAGCCAGCATGTTCCCAATCGCTCTAGGCTAACCCCAACTCTGACCTAAGCTTAAATCTAACCGTAGCATAGCCCTAACCATACCTAGCCATAACTCTGATCCTAAACGTAACCCGTGAGCCCAGCCTACCCCAAGCTGATGCAAACGTCCACACCCATCCAGCACTGCCGGCCGAGGGCCTTCCCACGCCGCGCGGGCCACGTGGGAGTTATTTAGACATACAGTACTTCGCCACGCGCTGGCCAGTGCGGCTGGGGGAGGCGTACGAGCGCAGACGCGAGAGCGCACAAGTACAGTACAACTGTGGACTCCGCCACGCAGCAGCCCGAGACACGCGGCGAGCGAGTGAGCGAGACGGCCTCCCGTCCCAGCGCAGCCTCCTCCGTCGAGGGCTCGACGCCGCGAGACGTCTGCCAGCGTGGGCGCATCGCAGAGAGACGCCGAGATGGCGCTCCAAGGCTACGATAACGCGCGAGTTCGCACGCTGACCCCGGCGGTGGGTGCTGACCTTAGCCCCTGACCCTCCAGCCGTGACCCCGCGTGACCTGACCACTCGGTCACGTGGCCGCGTTACCGTGGCCGTGCGCGCGCGCCTCCTCCTCTTGTCCCCCCCACCCCACAGCGACTCACGGCGACCTCTGACCTCCCTCGCCACTCGCGGCCTCGGACCAATCGCGAGTCGCGATGCTGTGAGCGCGCGAGGGAGATACAAAAAAAAACCGCCGTCGCGTCCAATCAGAGCGCGCGCGCGCGCGACGTCACCACGGGCGCCTCGACCAATTGCTACGCGCGTCACTGCCGACCAATCGTGACCCGCCTCTCGCACTCGCCGTAGGCCCAAGCCTTTCGCGGTTCTCACGCGGCGCTTTCGTCCCTCGGCGGCGGCGTCGTTCCGATTTAAACTTCAACGCCGCTCGCATTCGGCGTCGGGCGTCAGCTCCTCGCCGCGATCCTCCTAGCGTCGCTGGGGCTCCCGCGTGGGGGGCCACAGAGGTTTGCGATGATCGAACAGAAGCGCAAGGCGCAGGACATGGCGCTCGTGTCGGTGGCGAAGCGCGCGCGGGGAGACGCGGCGAAGGGGCCAGCCCCGGGGCAGGGGCAGCAGCTGCTGGCCGTGGTGAGCGGAGCCCTCGGACACCAACACCACCCCTCATACACCACCCCTCATACACCACCCCTCAGCCACCAACACCACCCTTCATACACCAACACTCATACACCAGCCCTCATACACCACCACTACCCCTCATACACTACCCCTCAGACACCCCCCCATCATACACCAACACCACCCCTCAGACACCACCCCTCAGACACCACCCCTCATACACCAGCCCTCATACACCACCCCTCATACACCACCCCTCATACACCAGCCCTCATACACCACCCCTCATACACCACCCCTCATACACCACCCCTCAGACACCACCCCTCATACACCAGCCCTCATACACCACCCCTCATACACCACCCCTCATACACCAGCCCTCATACACCACCCCTCAGACACCACCCCTCATACACCACCCCTCAGACACCACCCCTCATACACCACCCCTCATACACCACCCCTCAGACACCAGCCCTCATACACCAGCCCTCATACACCACCCCTCAGACACCAGCCCTCATACACCAGCCCTCATACACCACCCCTCATACACCACCCCTCAGACACCACCCCTCATACACCACCCCTCATACACCACCCCTCAGACACCACCCCTCAGACACCACCCCTCATACACCACCCCTCATACACCACCCCTCATACACCAGCCCTCATACACCACCCCTCAGACACCACCTCTCATACACCACCCCTCAGACACCACCCCTCAGACACCACCCCTCAGACACCACCCCTCAGACACCAGCCCTCATACACCAGCCCTCAGACACCACCCCTCATACACCAGCCCTCAGACACCACCCCTCATACACCACCCCTCAGACACCACCCCTCATACACACCCCTCATACAGCCACCCTCAGACACCACCCCTCATACACCACCCCTCAGACACCACCCCTCAGACACCACCCCTCAGACACCACCCCTCATACACCACCCCTCAGACACCACCCCTCAGACACCACCCCTCATACACCACCCCTCAGACACCAGCCCTCATACACCACCCCTCAGACACCACCCCTCATACACCACCCCTCAGACACCACCCCTCATACACCACCCCTCAGACACCACCCCTCAGACACCACCCCTCATACACCACCCCTCAGACACCAGCCCTCATACACCAGCCCTCAGACACCACCCCTCATACACCACCCCTCAGACACCACCCCTCATACACCACCCCTCATACACCAGCCCTCAGACACCACCCCTCAGACACCACCCCTCATACACCACCCCTCATACACCACCCCTCATACACCACCCCTCATACACCACCCCTCATACACCAGCCCTCATACACCACCCCTCAGACACCACCCCTCAGACACCACCCCTCAGACACCACCCCTCAGACACCACCCCTCATACACCACCCCTCATACACCACCCCTCATACACCACCCCTCAGACACCACCCCTCAGACACCACCCCTCATACACCACCCCTCATACACCACCCCTCATACACCACCCCTCATACACCACCCCTCATACACCACCCCTCAGACACCACCCCTCATACACCACCCCTGATACACCACCCCTCATACACCACCCCTCAGACACCACCCCTCAGACACCACCCTTCATACACCACCCCTCATACACCACCCCTCATACACCACCCCTCATACACCACCCCTCATACACCACCCCTCAGACACCACCCCTCAGACACCACCCCTCAGACACCACCCCTCAGACACCACCCCTCATACACCACCCCTCATACACCACCCCTCATACACCACCCCTCATACACCAGCCCTCATACACCACCCCTCAGACACCACCCCTCAGACACCACCCCTCATACACCACCCCTCATACACCACCCCTCATACACCACCCCTCAGACACCACCCCTCATACACCAGCCCTCATACACCACCCCTCATACACCACCCCTCATACACCACCCCTCATACACCACCCCTCAGACACCACCCCTCATACACCACCCCTCATACACCACCCCTCATACACCACCCCTCATACACCACCCCTCATACACCACCCCTCATACACCACCCCTCATACACCACCCCTCATACACCACCCCTCATACACCACCCCTCATACACCAGCCCTCATACACCAGCCCTCATACACCAGCCCTCATACACCAGCCCTCATACACCACCCCTCATACACCACCCCTCATACACCACCCCTCATACACCACCCCTCATACACCACCCCTCATACACCACCCCTCATACACCAACCCTCATACACCAACCCTCATACACCAACCCTCATATACCAGCCCTCATACACCAACACTACCCCTCATACACTACCCCTCAGACACCCCTCATCATACACCAACAACACCCCTCAGACACCAGCCCTCATACACCAACACTACCCCTCATACACTACCCCTCAGACACCCCTCATCATACACCAACACCACCCCTCATACACCACCCCTCATACACCACCCCTCATACACCAACACTCATACACCAGCCTCCATCCACCACCCCTCATACACCAACACCAGCCCTCATACACCACCCCTCAAACACCAACACCAGCCCTCATTCACCAGCCCTCATACACCAGCCCTCATTCCCTATCACTCATATACAGTACTAGCTGTGATTAGCACTAGCCCTCATACACCATCACGAGTCCTCATACACCAGCACCACCCCTCATACACCAGCACTAGCCCTCATTCCATATCACTCATATACTAGCTGTGACTAGCACTAGCCCAGATGCACCATCACTAGCCCTGATGCACCATCACTAGCCCTCATACACCATCACTAGCCCTGATACACCAGCCTTGGTACGTTAATACTCGCCCAAATGCACAACCAGTAATTCCGATACACTAACACTAGAAATAGTAATAATAACACTAGCCCTGCACTACCATTTATGATATATCTACACGAACCCCGGTGATTGTAGTAGCCTAGAACTAGCAATAGCTCAGCACCCGTATTAGCACGTGCCAATAAATAACACGAGTGTAGAACCACATGTAACGTGGTGTTGTTGGTACAGTCATTGGTGACTGGGATTGAGACCATTTATGAAACTCACTTGAGAACCCGGTTTAGCCAGGATCTCACGGGCTCTGCACTCTGACTTCTGAGCCACCTGGCCATCTCAAGATCTTAGTGTTGCCAACTCAGCGCTCTGACCCTTGTGCCACCTGGCTACGTCTTCAGATCTTTGCCCAAGAGCAGATCCATGGCACAAGTTCCCTCTGTTCCTATAATTACAAAACAACAATCTTGACAAGACCACGGTCCATACGAGGGTTGGTCAACAACTCCGGCATTATATGTTTGGCTTCCTCTATGCAAACTCATGATCTCTTTGGTTCCAGATCAGCGCTCTGACCTCTTGGGCCACCCGGTCACCGCTTTGAGTGCTGTAAAGCATTATTTGCTCTCTGAGCCACCGCAGGAGTTGTGGTTTGTTCTGACACCCAGATGTTCCTGTGACTTTCCCTTGTGGGTGGCAGGGCCCTCCCAGGTCCTCGAGTCTGCTGGCGCCAATCATGCTGCTCACCGGGCACGAGGGCGAGGTCTACTGCTGCAAATTCCACCCCAATGGGAACACCCTCGCCTCTGCCGGCTTCGACAGGACCATTCGTGAGTCCCTGGCCAGTGTACAGGCTGGTGCTGTTGTTCTTCTCATACAGCCAGTGAGCACAAGTTCGCTATATAGCTCTGTGGTCAGTCACATAAATCATCTTATGGCAAACATTTGTCATTTATTGTGATTACTTTGACATTTTTTTTCATTTACTCCCAAATTTGATCCTATCTGCGATGTCATAAGAAAAATACATTCGGATTGCTCTTAGAGTATTGCAATCATGCGTTTTCGAGAACGATTCACGGATGTGGATATCGCTGAGCTGCTTCTGAGCTCTCTTCAAGTGACCATAACCCCACAGTAGGGGCCTTAGCTTTCCCATCCATCCTGCCATAGCAAATAAAGTTTGCTGCCTAAGAGTATATTAAGTGCAGAACCATATTTTTATGGGATGGTTTTTTTTTATACAGTAATTGTTGACCGGGCTGAGTCCATCAACTCACCGCCTTTGACAATCCAGATGAATCGTAGGTGGCTGCTTGGATTCTAACCAATGACCTCAGCAATGCCAGCTCAGTGCTCTGACCTCTGAACCATCCGGCCATTTCTTGAATCCCAGATGTTAAACACCTGCGCTATGCATCTGGTAGAGACTGCTTAATGTGCACGCAGTGGTTGCATTAAGTGTTTTCTGTTTTGATGTTTTCCCGCAGTCATGTGGAACGTGTATGGAGACTGTGACAACTACGCCCACCTTAAGGGACACACTGGAGCGATCCTGGATATACACTACAGCACGGACGGCAGGTACAGTCATTTCTGTTGCGGCCAATTTGACTTCATTTGTGCCAAAAATCCACACGGGCATCACTGACGAATCAGTAACATGCAGTTACTTCCAGTATGGCGCTGAAAATAGTACTCTAATAAGAATGTTGGGTTTGTGAGCCTGTGTGTGCAGGCTTTTGTGAGTGTTATTCCCTAATATACGTGAATATCAGGGTATAGCTGCTGCATTCCACAGGCCAAACACTCCATATGTAAACCCTGCCTTCACCAGCGTGAAGTATGGTCAAGTAACCCCCATGACCTGTACAGACATGAGGAGGCCCTCATCCAACAGTGGATTGACACACTCGTAACTTAATTCCTACACTCGTAACTTCATGTGTGTTTCTCGAGCTTTACGTTAGATTTTAACAGATCAAATCGATCCATCATTACACGTCCACAACAAAACCTTCACTATTTTGATACCAATCGCCGCTCCGTTGGAGTGAACCGCCACTAACGTCGGACAAATTCCGTTCAGCACCATCTTCACGTCGTCGACGGACAAGACGGTCGGGCTGTGGGACAGCGAGACGGGCGAGCGCATCAAGAGGCTCAAGGGCCACACTTCGTTTGTGAACGCGTGCTTCCCGGCGCGCCGTGGGCCCCAGATGGTCTGCACAGCCAGCGACGACGGCACAGTAAAGGTACGGAACGCTCGCGGCGACGGTATTACTTGCACTCGTGAGCAGTGCAGACTTACATAAACATTTTATTTTAGCAGGTAAGGCCCACTGAGCTGTATAGCTATTTTTCAGAAGGGACATGGCCAGAAATGATAGCGCAACAAAGTGGCTTATTGTGTGGAAATTTATACCAGCCAAATAGTCTAAAGGGACGTTTATAATAATGCCGTGGTCTGCATTCGCACGTGAACCCCACCCTCTCTCTCCTTGCTATGCTGCTATGAACATAACATCTTCGACTTACCGGGGAGCTGAAATAATAATTGACGCGTTGAATGCCTGTACACAATGTGACAATTTCATTTATTTCGCAACGTCATGTGGTGAGGAATGTATTAATGACACAAATCTGGCCAGATCATTGTGGTCTGTCCCAACATTTTTTTTTATCCGAATGACTTTCATCTCTTAAAATATGGAATGATCATTTTAATTAAGCTTATTGAACATGTAACATTCCTAGTTATGATGATCTGAATTAATACTTTGGTGAATAAAACATTAATGCTATTAAAATGTCATGTTTGCGTAAAATGCTTTCTGGATCCAGACATTTTCACAAATTATTCTCCAAATGATGCAACAAAACGATATTCAACATTAAAAAAACGACAACTTGACGCTTTAATAGTAATATCGTGTTGTTGTGTCAAGAATTCTGTTAATAACTTTGAGCCGTGTGCCTGTGCACCTCTAACCCACAGCTGTGGGATACACGGAAGAAGGGGTCAGTTCACTCGTTCCAGAACACGTACCAGTGCCTCTCTGTCACGTTCAACGACACCAGCGACCAAATCCTCTCCGGCGGCATTGACAATGTCATCAAGGTAAGGGCACACTGAACATGTCAACACCACTTTGTGAGGCGGTGGTACTTTCTCAACATTAATACATTTCTGCTATCTACAAAAAAACTCATTGAGTCTCAAGGCTCTTTTATTTCACGATAAGCCAACATTGTGGTAGACAATGAAACATTATGTACCGGTTTCAGTAAAGTAAAGCCATAATTTCCTACAGCCTCCTTGTGGATTAGCCCCTCTGATCATTGTGGGTATCTCATTGCCCTGCCGGTGAGTTGGTAGTCTAACACAGGGCTGCGTGCATGATACACGCAGTATGATGACGTTACGTTTTGGGAGCTTCGGATTCAGTTCCTGAAGATGGTTTCAGCACGTGGGGCTAAACGTCAGACACCATGGCCAAACTATAAACGTAACTATTTATATTTTATCAGGTAAGGCTCACTGAGCTATGTAGCTCTTTTTCAGAAGCTACCTGGCCACAAATGATAGTTCAACGAAGTGGCTTATCACCTGTAAATTGTTAGCAGCCAAATACTCTAAACGACACGCGGTACGACCCAAAAACTCGTGGGAGAACTGTATTGTGAATGTGTGCACGGCGTGTGGTAGGTGTGGGACCTGCGTCAAAACAAGCTGATCTACACGATGAAGGGGCACAACGACTCCGTGACTGGACTGAGCTTGAGCCCTGACGGCTCCTACCTCCTCTCCAATGCCATGGACAACTCGGGTATAACAACAACAACACCACCAACAAAAACATGACAACTCCCAACAACACACAACAGCAGCGTGCATTTGTGTAGCCTTGTCGGCTAAATAACAGCTACATGTCATCTTGGTTCTTTCGGTAAAGTCACGTAGAATGGAAATAATAAAATAATAAAAATAAAACATAATTAAATAATTCTCACAACGTTTCGGCCACAACGCAAGCAGCCATCCTCAGGTGAAGAAGACCGTCTTCTCGACAGACCTGTTCAAGACAGAGTCTTCTCGATAGACCTGTTCTTCACCTGAGGACGGCTGCTTGCGTTGTAGCCGAAACGTCGTGAGAATTATTTTATTATGTTTTATTTTTATAATTTTATTATTTCCATTCTATGTGACTTTACCGAAAGAACCAAGAAGATGAATCCCTGCAGTCACGAAAGCTTTAAATTGAAAAAAAAGCTACATGTCAGTCACACTTTTGGATTTTGGCCTCCCCACCATACATTTTGTGAGGTTATTTGACCGTACCTTACCACGCTGGTCAGTGTGGGTTAGGGAAACCGGGGAGCCCAAGACCAGCTCACCTGTCGCTCACCACTGAAGTTAGCCATGGCAGGGAATCAAACTCGGATGGCCAGGTACATTGGGCAGTGTGCTACCCACTGCACCACCGCTCTCCCGCATGGGATTACATTTAATAGCATATAATTGGCGTATGATTGATTGCTTCTCACAAGACAATTTTAATAAATGAATCGATTAAAAATAGACATGAAAATCAACACAATTAGGTTTTGAACCTGTGTGCGATTAAGTAACTTCACAATAATTATAAATGGTTGAATTATTTTTCATGTGAAATTATTTGCAGTGAGGATTTGGGACATACGACCCTTTGCCCCCATGGAGCGGTGCGTGAAGATTTTTCAAGGCAACGTGCACAACTTTGAGAAGGTAATTGCTTTATTTGCATCTCGCTTAGTTCATGCACAATAATGAGTTAACATTTTTTTGTTAAAGTTATATTCAAAACAACGCGGATCAAAGCATTGAAAAGTGTGCAAAGAAGCAAGGAGAGCTTCATTCATGCATCGTGCATAGTCAGCGAAGGATCGTTGCGCCAAACGTGTGACCTCTTGCGCCAGCATTTGCATAAACTGATGTTGCTGCCATACACCGGCGTGTCTCGAGTGATTTGTTTGATCCACGGATATCATGGGGAAGGGGGGGGCGCCATTCCTTTTAGCGTCGCAGTTTTCTCAGAACGTCGACTGTCAAACTGAAGTGCGCGAGGAGAGATGCACGCTGGGAACTGCAAGAGACAGAACGAGGAACACATGGATCAGATAAATGCAAATCACGTGGATTTTGTCGACTGTTAAGAAAACTTAAGTGGCCCTGGACGGGGACTCGTTGCTCGAAGGGATGATGGCCAATCGATGAGACTGGTGATGGAACGGCAGACAAAGGAGGGAACACAGCCGTGGATGATGTCCACCTTGGGGATGGCGCAGCGAGATGGACCGTGGCAGCGCACGATTAGGAGGGCTGGCAACAACTTTGAGGGTTGGGGAGGGGGGGGTGTTCATTCAGCAGTGAGTAGAACATGGACGATGATAGAATGTATGTGTGTTGAACTTCTTTTGCACCCTACCTGTCCACCTGTGCTAATCGGAAGTGTGGGCAAAGGACAATAAACCAAACACAAAAAGCAGCTCTATAGAAATTAGTTTTCAATCTAGATTTAAAAGTGCATAGCTCCAGTGGCTTCCTCATTGAAGTTAATCGTGCATGATGCGGTTTTTTGTGCCGTTTCAGAACCTGCTGAAGTGTTCTTGGTCCCACGATGGCAGTAAAGTGTCTGCGGGTTCTGCAGACAGGTAAGCTCTCAACCCCGTCACGCCCCGATTATCCCGGGATGATAATGGGGCCCCTGCAAAGTGACAGCACCGATGATGCAAAACGTGTAAATTATAAAAACACAAATATTTTGTTTACCTACATAGAATGGGGAAGTTAAAATTCCGTTTGTGTCATCTTTATTCTTAAGGTAACCGGTTAAGTTGCCACAAGATGTTTGTGGTCACGTTGCCAAATGAGTTTGACCTTCGATGAGTGAGCAGCTGCTAATGATAGAACCAGCACCAGTAAAGTTATTTTTTCTGTAAGGATGTGTAATACGCATATAGTAGGGAGCGATATTGATATGTGTCAAGTAATTTGCAGGGAATTTATCGAATGTAGTCAAAATTAGACAATGCCGCGGGCACACGTGGCCTCGTATTTTTCGAATAGCATCACGCGCTCTTTTAACATCCCCTCTAAAGCGTACGTGCGGCACACAGGTTAGGTTATGATATTCTTGAATCGTCTTTGGCACGATTCTGTGCTTGCGCCTGACTGCTGGTGCGTTGTCATTGCGCAGGTTCGTGTACATTTGGGACACGACGTCACGCCGCATCCTCTACAAGCTGCCCGGACACGCCGGTTCTGTCAACGACGTCGCTTTCCACCCCGAGGAGCCCATCGGTAAGATCTCTCTTCGCGCAAAGATCGAGTCGTTCGGCGTTATCTATAATCCGTTATCTATAATCAGTTGCTAAAATGTATAACAGAAAAAATAACGCTGCAACCCGTGTGTGTGTGTGCGTGTGCTGGAGCGTGTGTCACGCGGTGATTGAGCGGAACAGACTTGCGATTTGAACGTTCTCGCACGCGCCAATCGGTTCAGTCGTCCGAAGTGTCTTCCGTTGTTGATTCCGTGACTTTTGCAATCGGCGTTTGATTCTGAAAACGATTCTCAGAAAACCGATGCTCGGCCTACAATCCCGGTTGTTTGGCGTGGCATGTGTAAGAACAATGACCGTCATGGTAGCTGTGATATTAGTGACGAGGCAGCAGACGTACAGAGCCAATTCATAAACGCTTTCAGTCTGAGGTGAAAAGTGATTTAATGGTGGCGATGATGATGATGATGATGTCTTGTACGCGCTGCGGGTTGAGAGTGTTGCCGTTGTCTCTGTATTTCAGTTCTGTCGTGCGCCAATGACAAGCGTCTCTACCTTGGAGAAATCCAGTGACGGCTGTGGCTGGGCAAGAACCCCTTCCCCAAAGATTCCTTGCAGGATGAGTTGAACTCCCGTTTGATAGATAAAACGACCTTTCCAGGTGTGCTGGTGTTTCACTCAGGTGTGGCGAGAATGCCCGCGTACACCGGTAAACATCCTCCCTTGCATTGAGCAGGCTACTCATGTTCTACAATTGCACACATTTCTAGCCGCGTGACAGAGGGCTCAATCCTGAGTGTCAGTTTCTTGTCAACAACTTGAGCGACGTTCCCCCTTGGTTTTACTTTGGCATCCATTACAAACCAACAACTGAGGTTGCCATAAGATGGCGATTCTCCGATCTGTTGTACGACATTTGTGGGAATCTCATACCGCGAATATCGTCCCTTCGTGAAATTTAATATCGTTTTGCGTCGGGAAAAATTACATCGCGGCAACCCGATCAAGAACTAAGGAAAACTCACTTTAGTTTTATTTGTTTTGCGATGTGGTGCTGTATACAACGTTGAATTCCAGTGAGTGGCGCGGGATTTGTAAGATTGTAAACCTATTTTTTAAATAAACAATGTCCTTTTATACCAAATGTTGTGCACGTGAACAACACACATCGAAGGCAGAGGGAGTATCGTCGCGGCCGCATTCCGTGGGGAACCGGAAACTGAGCGGCGCTCGTGTTTCCGTTGCCCGCTTTGTCGTTGCATCGGCGCACGCAGTTAACTCTCGATTATCCACGGGTGGACTCTCCGGGTCGCGGATTGACTGCGCTCGGGTAAAAAACAAAGTCTCGTCAAACGCGAGCAGCGACGCGCTTCACTCGTCGCGGCTCCGAGTGCGGCCACCTCCTCACCGTCGACTCGTCGGCGAATGCAAGCGATTGCTTTCAGATTCGATCAATTCAGTCGGCGTTTTTAACGTCCCGTTTCACGCACGTAAACAGCACCTTCTTACAGCCTAAATTTCGTGATTTACGTTCGTGTTTAAGTTTTTTAACTGGCCCACTCCTCTTCCCCACCCCCACACCTCACCCCAGTGTTGTGGATAATTGAGAGTTGCCTGCATTGTGCATGCGAGTGTGCCTTGCCAACGGTGAGCCGGCGACTTGGCCACAAAGACTTGACGTGTTGGTGTAGAAATAAACGCTTCTCTCCGTCTCAGGCTTGCGGTGCCGTGTGTTTGATGTTTAACGTTCACCACCAACCCACACTGACCCACACGGTGAAGGAAGGCCCGACAACCGCTCTGACCGCTGTGGCATGGGGTGAGTCCAGAGGCAACGTGGGTAGAAGTTCAGACTGACCGTGCCCCACAAGCCAAACCAATCTCCGTTGGGGCTAACATTTTTAGAAACCATACAAAAGATTTTTTCTTGTCGTACGGCGTGCCGGTGTTCGTAACGAATGCGGTGCCTGTAATGTGCACGCCGTGAGCCGCTGTCGTGGTCGGAGAGCCCCGTGGGCCACACGTGAAAGCCGATCTGTGCCGGGCTTTGGCCGCCAGAGGGCGCCACGTGTCCGAGGCGGCGCCCCTCCAATGCGCAGCACTCGCAAGCAAGCTTCATCAATACTCCAGCCTCTATGCTCGATTCCTGACCAAGGCAAGTTAGAAGCCTGGGTCGAATTGTACTAAAACACTTCAGATTCCTCCCCCCCCCAACCTCCTTTAGTTTGTCGCTAAAGTTTGATGCCACGGTGCCATTTGTCAAATTCCTGTACTCGCAGTGGCCAGCGTGAAGTATGATCAAACAATCCCAATGATCGACATGGGGTCTTCAATAATAGTAATAATAACTAATAGATTCATGAATAACGGAGCATATGAATTGGACACACAACGGGTGATATTCGCCTGTGTTATAGGCACGTCATCAATACGACGTTAATGCATTCTACCTTGGGGAAACCACAATGAGTCTCGAGACGACTTTGGGTACGAGGAGATAGCACTTAAGGGGTCTACAGGTCTACTTGCTGTACTGCCATCTGTCCACCTTGCAGTCCACAACAAGTTTGACAAATCTCCACGTGATTCACCAACCCACGCCTCCAAAGCGCTGCATGAAAGGCATGCCGACCGGACTCGGGTTATATCCCAACTGGGCCAACACTCCAGACCTATGTAATAATGAGTGTTGTGCATACGAGTGAAAATAAGGACCTTGATAAAAACCACGCATTGGAGAAGAAAGTTATGTTATGCAGACAGTTTTGCAAACCCCGTGTGTTGCACTGAAAACTCCTGGCCATTTTAAAGCGCAGTGGGGATGGGAGTTTATTTTTTTACAGATCTCAATGTGATTTACCTACCCAACATCTCAGGGTGAAGAGAGTGTTCCTGAGTGATGGCTCAGTGGAGGTTCATGTGTTGCCACCACCAAGCTCAGAGCGGACAGGTTCGCGCCTCGGTCTGTGGCCACCCAGAGCTCAGCCGTGGGCTCGCCTCCTGCTCCCCTGATTCATGAATGGGCGGCCCTCAGTGCTCTCATCATGTCACTGTGCTATAGTCTAGTGGTGAGCACACGAGGCTATGACACACTAGGTCTTGGATTCAAAACCAACCTTCATTTTTTATTTTTTTCAAAGTGTCATTAAATACACATTAAAGGCCAAAAGGATATATTTTTTTTCATAATCAAAGAAATAGTTTCTTTTTCTATTTTTATTTTTAATACAACTGAAATAAATGACGCTAAAGATGGCAATGATTTAATAACCAGACATCCCACAACAATTCACGTGCTCATGTGGTCTAGTGGTTAGCACAGCTGCCCCTCAAGCTTATCTACACGGGTTCGATTCCTAGTGCAATCCTTTTACTAAATTACTTAGAAGTGGTGATGACGTATTCACCTTCATACAGCCATGCGGCGCAGTGCAATCACTACACGGCATGGAGCCCCATATACCTGCGGGAAGACACGGTGGCTCAAGGTGATGCTGAAGCAGCACCAGAGTTAAGAGGTGTGCGGTTCAAGCCCCGGACTTGGTGTGGAAGGCTGCAGAATAAATAAGGGAGTGACAAACAAAATGTAATCCCTATGTGAATGTACTAACATGTGTTGTGTCTGTATTACAGGTATAGATGCAGGCAGGGGGATGGTGGTAGAGTGGCGGAGATGGGAACCCACATGGTGTGCATGCAAGAGGCGAAGAGAGAGGGTGGAGTGAAACTGTGTAGCAGGATTTTTTTGCAGGACGCCAATAACAATGTTGACCACGAGGGGGCGCTGTGCTACCGCTAGGGGGCGCTGTTCTGCCGCTAGGGGGCGCTGTTTCATTGAAATTCTCATTCGAAATTCTAATTTGCATAAAATTACCGGCATTTCAAGGTTTTTTCAACAAACGTAAGCTGCGAGCAATGGTATTGCAAAAATCGCCGTGAAATCCGTCACACGAGGCTAGGAAGGCGCCGTGAGACCGGTTGACACAGCATGGCCACTGTTCTGCTTCGATTTGCCATCAAATACGCTGATTTTACCCCTATGACACTGCTTTTTACAACAAAACATCATTTTAAAAGGCACGATTTTGCTCACAGAACGCTGTGAAACATTGGCCAAATCAACTGCATCTATTAATTTCAATCGTTAAAACTGATAAAACAGATCAGGGATGGTGAAGTATGGTAAAATAACCACACGGGGCGAGGGGAGGCCCTCATCCAGCAGTGGAGTGAGAAACTGGCAGTGCGTTGCAGGAACCGTAAAACCAGTAGAAGCAAAAGTGAAACTTTACCAACCCAATACGTTCTAGTTGCGTACATCTTTAAATACATTTTTAAAACTAAGTAATGATCTTTGATTTTTACAATAATCTCCAACAATTGCCATCTGAGAATGTTCAACGCGACCTGTAGAATGGCGATCACGAGAATCACCGCGTTCGGTTACACCCGCGCACACAAACGATGTGCCCTTGCATGCATACAAATATCTATTTTTTCTCAGCCTTATCCAAACCACTAACTCAAAAAGAACTGACTGAGCGGGCCCCACGGATTTGAACAATCACGCGGGGTTATAAAACGCGTACTCAGCAAGAGTAATTTATGAGTGGCAATCACGCGATGCGCTTGGGAGGAGAAACACCGCAGACAATTTGCAGCCAGAGCCCTAACCCCATCGCCGACACCAATCAATCCCAGCCCAATCACATCTGATAAATTAAAAATATCTTCTGGCAATTCGCACAAAATCGTTATTTACCGCCTACAACGCAGCATCAAGACCACCCTCCACCCCCACTCTTCTCCTCTGCTTGTGACCGCCTCTCTCGACGAAGTGGCTTCTCTTCTCTCCATCTGTCCCCTAGCCCATGATCCCTCTCTGCTCCTATAACAAAAGCAAACCCCGAGTACACTACTGGATGTGCCGTAATGCTCCCAGGATGATCACAGTTCCCCCACATAAATACACATTGCGCTGAGCGGATGATAATTACCTGTACAAGAGCGTCGCCCTCCATTGGAATGGGAGACGCAAGCCCCCGAGTTGAGAGAGAATGGTTCGATCCCTGAATCGAGCACAATCGTGTACACGAAAGCAAACGCACGCACGGTGGCGCTACGTCTGGGGGTTGAAAACTCTTTCCTGAAGAGCTGCTTTACGTGTTCAGTTTCTTATCCTACCTCCCCACACATCGGATAATTATCACGATCGGGCTACGTACGGTACGAAAGAAGTTCAACGCACATACATCCCCCACTGCCCACCTGCCTCGAGTACAAGCCCCCGTGTCGCCCGACTCTGGATCCAGGCCCTGGCTCCGTCCCACCCGAGCCACATGAACAACGTTCCCGGTGCGGCGTTCACCATTTGTGATGTTCACCATTTGTGATGTTCACCATTTGCGGCGTTCACCATTTGCGGCGTTCACCATTTGCGGCGTTCACCATTTGCGGCGTTCACCATTTGCGGCGTTCACCATTTGCGGCGTTCACCATTTGCGACGTTCACCATTTGCGACGTTCACCATTTGCGGCGTTCACCATTTGCGATGTTCACCATTTGCGGCGTTAACCATTTGCGGCGTTAACCATTTGCGGCGTTCACCATTTGCGATGTTCACCATTTGCGGCGTTCACCATTTGCGATGTTCACCATTTGCGGCGTTCACCATTTGCGATGTTCACCATTTGCGGCGTTCACCATTTGTGATGTTCACCATTTGTGATGTTCACCATTTGCGGCGTTCACCATTTGCGGCGTTCACCATTTGCGATGTTCACCATTTGTGATGTTCACCATTTGCGATGTTCACCATTTGCGATGTTCACCATTTGCGGCGTTCACCATTTGCGATGTTCACCATTTGCGGCGTTCACCATTTGCGATGTTCACCATTTGTGATGTTCACCATTTGCGGCGTTCACCATTTGCGGCGTTCACCATTTGCGATGTTCACCATTTGCGGCGTTCACCATTTGCGATGTTCACCATTTGCGGCGTTCACCATTTGTGATGTTCACCATTTGCGGCGTTCACCATTTGCGGCGTTCACCATTTGCGTTGTTCACCATTTGTGATGTTCACCATTTGCGATGTTCACCATTTGTGATGTTCACCATTTGTGATGTTCACCATTTGCGATGTTCACCATTTGCGGTGCATTTCCCTGCTCGGTCAGTTCCAGTCCCTCCGCATTATTTAATTATTTTACACACACACACACAAACAACCAAACCCATGCCCATCCCGTCCAAACGCCTCTTTTCGCATCGCTACACCGATTTTTTTTTTTTAGCACAGAAACAAGCGCGCGTCTTAACACAGCTAACATGCAAGAGCAAGGCAGGTGCTGTTGGTGCATGCATGATGTTGTTGGTGCATGTGTGATGTTGGTGGTGCATGTGTGATGTTGGTGGTGCATGTATGATGTTGTTGATGCATGTATGATGTTGTTGATGCATGTATGATGTTGTTGATGCATGTATGATGTTGATGGTGCATGTGTGATGTTGCTGGTGCATGTGTGATGTTGTTGATGCATGTGTGATGTTGGTGGTGCATGTGTGATGTTGGTGGTGCATGTGTTGTTGATGCATGTGTGATGTTGTTGATGCATGTGTGATGTTGTTGATGCATGTGTGATGTTGGTGGTGCATGTATAATGTTGTTGATGCATGTGTCATGTTGTTGATGCATATATGATTTTGTTGATACATGTATGATGTTGTTGATGCATGTGTGATGTTGTTGATGCATGTATGATGTTGAACTTTACCCACGCTCACCTGCAGCTCCCCAAGTCTTCCTCCTGGACGCGACGGGAGCTCCCCATGCCTCCTCCATCTCTGCACGACCTAGCAACTCTCAACATCCGTGCCAAGTCCCTCCCGCGCCGCAGTCGCCCCGTGGAAAGTCAGCAACCTGGGCCACGGCTGTCCTGCATTCGCTTTGTCCGGGGGTGCCGGCCCACTGCCGAGTCATTTCTCAGCAGTGGGATGTTTGCCGAGAGAACAAAAATATTCCCACATTGACAAACATCCTAAATGAATTATTTTTGGTGGACACGCCTTGCACACACACACGCCGTGTTGCTACGAGAAAAGGGGCATTGGCTGAAACGTTGCCGATCGCAAATGCAGGGTTACCTCGCTTTGTGCGGGTTCGGTGTTTGCGATTTCGCATAAATGTGGCGAACTGTGCCTACCCAAAATTCGCTCTATGCGGTATTAATTCGCCCATATGCGGCTATGCGCCGGGTGTGATACTACCTTGTGTGTGTGTACTGTGTGTGCACTGTGTATACTGTGTGTGTGTACTGTGTGTGTACTGTGTGTATGCTGTGTGTGTACTGTGTGTATACTGTGTGTGTACTGTGTATGTACTGTGTGTTGTGTGTATGCTGTGTGTATGCTGTATATGTACTGTGTGTATGTACTGTGTGTATGTACTGTGTGTGTGTACTGTGTGTATGTACTGTGTGTATTACTGTGTTATTCTGTGTTATTCTGTGTGCTCTACACGGCAGGCAGCTGTATACTCGTGCGGTTTCACTCTGTGCACCCTTTTTTGGAACGCATCTACTACTACTACATCTACTACTACTGCACCTACTACTACTACATCTACTCCGACAGCTACTACTAAGAGCGCGTTATCCGTGCTTGTGCAGCACAGATAACGCAGCAGCAGCAGCAGCATCATCACACGAGTAACAACAACGGGGGTGTTTGGCTTTGGGATTTTGGCAACGTGGGCTTAGCTCGCTCCCTCCGTGTCCTTCGTCGGTTTGCTCCTGTTCCTCCAGAAGATACATGAAATAAACGTGGCCAAACCCCCCCCCCCCCCCCCCCCAACGCCGTGAAATTAACGAGAGCAATTCCCTTCCTTTATCCGGGATAAAAGCAATCAGCGAGTGTCAAGACAAGGCTCATTTTCATGAGAGTCCGTACATACAAATCATGCACGCACGCGTGAACACGACACACACACGCGCGTACACAGGACACAAACATCGGACGCGAACACGCACGCTGAGCAAACGCCGCAACATCGCCCTCTGCCCAACAGTGGACCCATTTTGATCTCGCCGCTGCGTAGAAGGACCCCTGCCACGAAACGTCGCCCGCGGTGCGTTTTGCTCCACCGCTCTGCGAGACGACGGTGGGAGACGGACGTGGTGGGGGGGTGGTGGCGTTCCGCGTGATCCGCACGCCTCTGCGTCGCCGCCAGCGGCCCCACGCTGCACGGGGAGCGCGCGAGCTGCGCGTGGCGCTGCCTCCTCGCTGCTGCTCCAAATCGACGGATTTCTTCTTCTTCGTATTCAAAGCAGCGCCGTTATTAATATATTTATCTACTTCTACACGGGAGATCCCATCCTCATCCCACCCACCCACTATACCCCCCCCCTCCTCCTCTCTCGCCCGGCTCAGCTCAGACTAGCCTTGGTTGTGGTTGGTGGTGGTGGTGGTCAGTTGTGGAACACGCGCGCGCACACACACACGGGTGCCAGGCTAGGTTGACCGGGACGCCTGCGAACGACGCTGGCGACGTCATTGCTCATGCAGCCCGCGCTTCCACTGCGGGAAGGCGCCGTCAGGGCTCTGTGAGGAGGAGGAGAAGTAGAAGCAGGAGGAGTAAGGATGGGGAGTCAGTGGGCAGGCTATGCTTGTCTGTAGCCCCCCCCTCCCCACCCCCAGCGTGCTATTGTCGTGACCCCCTCGCTCGCTTTTCTCGAAGCCATTGGTGCTGTCGCCAAGGGCGTAGGAGTAGTGGCAGGGGGTCCCCCCACCCCGGGCTCGCTCAGCCACCGCAGGTCGGGGTCCGGGCCCCCTTGAGCCGACTCGGGGCTGGTTGACCGGCGAGACGTGGGAGGAGTGCGTCTCTTGGTCGGGTTACTGCAGCATGAGCGGTGACTTCATCACCACCAGAAGCAGCAGCAGCAGCAGCTACACAATCAACACATCGTCGTCATCGACAGCAGCTACAGCAAGGGATTGCAGCAGCAGCAGGTAACACGGCGTCATCATCGGTAGCAGCAACAGCAGGGACTACAACAGGAACAGCAGCTGTAGAAGCAGCAAAAACAGGCAAAACGGCTTCTGCTGCAGCAACCAGCAGCAGCACACGCGACCGCTACATCAGTGACGGATGTAGCAGGCGCATCACATAAAACCAGCCGTAGCTACATCTTCATCATCATTTGCAGCAGCTAAACAACATCATCATCAGCAGCAGCAGCTATAGCAGCAGCTACAGCATCATCAGTGGAGCGGAGCGTGCTGCTTGCATCTTCGTGCCGCAGCGCCGACTCGCTCATCACGAGTGTCTCCCTCGCCACTGACGGCGTCCGTGTAAGGTGTGTAACACACACCACACACACACCACCACACACACACACCACATCATACACAACACACACACCACCACATCATACACACCACACACACCACCACATCATACACACCACACACACACACCACCACATCATACACACCACACACACACACCACACATACACACCACACACACACCACCACATCATACACACCACATCATACACCCCACACACACCACCACATCATACACCCCACACACACACCACATCATACACACCACACACACACATCACCACATCATATACACCACACACACACACCACATCATACACACCACACACATCATACACACCACATCATACACACCACACACACCACCACATCATACACCCCACACACACACCACATCATACACACCACACACACACACATCACCACATCATACACCCGCACACACCACCACATCACACACACCACACACACACACCACACACACCACCACATCATACACACCACACATTACACACACACCACACACACTCCACACACACCACCACACACCGCACCACCACATCATACACACCACACACACCACCACATCATACACACCACACACACACCATACACCCACATTATACACACACACACCACACACACCACCACCACTACACACCATACAAACACCACACACACACACCATACAAACACCACACACGCACCACACACACCACGCACACCCCACACACCTCACACCCCTCACACACCTCACACCCCTCACACCCACTCATTCACTCGTCCACTCACGCCCAACGGGGTTAGAGTCGATCTCCGTGTCGTCGTCATCATCATCGTCGTCACCACCATCGATATATCCCCCAGGTCGTCCTTGCAAAAGAGACTGCGTCTCAATGGGGATGATGACATCTCCTGGTTAAATGAAGGATACATCAACATACGTCTCATGTATTACATGTCAACATTCTGTGTATGTGTCGTCACCACCATCATCATCATCACAACCGTCCATGGTCGATCCACTGCTGGATGAAGAGTCCCTGTCACCGTCTCTCGCGACCCTGCGGCGGTGTGACAATCCAACCTCGCACCTTGGGCCACGAGCTCATTTCGTCGCTCCATCTCCTCGGTGTTGTTCCTGTGTGTATCGACTGCAGTACACACACGATGTGTGTGTGTGTACGAGGTGTGTGTGTGTACGTGTGTGCCGAGATCTAACTACATTTCTTATTTTACGCATAAACCAATTTAGACACGCGCATGAATTCCATCTGTCACAGATACGTAGGTAGAGTAGTACATGTATTCACACATACAACTGGATAAAGGCTTAGCTTAGGGGCAATGCTCAAACCTGTGAAATATTCAATATTACATCTCAGATTTATATACAGTACACAGATATCGATGTCTGTACGAAAGAGGTCTGTACGCACAGAGACTGCTGGGGCTGTTAGCGAGCACCTATTAAGGGCGGCACTAGAGGGTGCTGTGGCCAGAGTCATGCCCGGCCGCCTTTGTCTCCCAAGCGCTGATGTTTATACGTCGCACCAGGTACTAATTTTAAGGCTGAGTCGATCTAGGGGAGCTGGAATCGAACTCGGTTGACCGGGTTCGTAGCGCAGTGCGCTGGCAAAGATGAACACCAAATGTATCGCCTTTTAAACAGGCTGGTGGGACAACTGCTGTAAGCGAGCACCGTCAAAATGCGGCACGCACACTCGCACAGATCCTAGCAAGGCAAGGACAAAAACGCCCCCAATATAAGAGAGAGAGAGTGCAGGCCAAGTGCCGTCAGTGATCACCGATCTCCTGCACACACGGACAAGACGCACGCGCTCACATGCGCGCGCACAATATCCGTTCCGGCTCTCCTGTGATGTCGAAATCAACATCATCATCGTCATCATCATTATCGTCATCGTCGTCATCATCATTATCGTCATCGTCGTCATCATCATTATCGTCATCGTCGTCATCATCATTATCGTCATCGTCGTCATCATCATTATCGTCATCGTCGTCATCATCATTATCGTCATCATCGTCATCATCATCGTCGTCGTCGGCTCTGCGCTCAGGTGCAGCGGTGACTCATCTCCTGGCTGATGGAGGAACGCGACCTCCCCCCACGCGACCTCTTCCTAAGAATTCGGTACAAGCAGGAATTATTCCTCCGACGCAGGCGGCGTGGAACCCTCTTTCCCGCTGTCGCTCATCGTGATGCTAGAGGGGAACGCAGAGCCGAATATTTAGCTCACTGCAACAAAACTCACCCCCCCCCTCCCCCGCGTGAATGATCCCCCTACAACATCCACAACATTCTACTCCACTCTTCTCTCAGCACTTACCGACCAACATTCCTCCTCTCATCTCAATCCTCCCCTGGCTCTTCCAGTGACCAAAACCGATCCTCTTCGTTGGGCACAGGGACTGCTGCACGCTCCTCGAGTGTGCAGGCGGTGCAACTGCGCCCGGGGAGTCCTTCGGGTCCGAAGGGCACAGGCATGCGGGGCTGCAGGCGAGACGGCGGTCCCTGCACCAGGGCCCACGCCGACCGCGCCACTGCGTGGGCCCCTGACTCCTCTCCACCCGCCCCTTTGTTCCCGGCTGCCCTCCCAGGTCCCGTGGGGTCGAGCGCGAGTCTCCACACGCACGCGGAGCGGGTATGATCGCGGCCCCGGCTCCACTTGAGGGCAGCTCCTCCTCCACCCGGGGATGTAGCCGCCGCGCGACCGTCGAGATCACTGCGGACACCATCACACCATCGCCGCCGCCCCTCGCGCAACCGCTCCAGAGCCTGAAGCGACGGCGCTGAAGCCGAGGAGCCGATCGGCCCTCCACCAACCGACCCAATCCCTGACCTTCTGAGGTCGCCCACCAGCCGTGGCTCGAACCAAAGTCACACCTCGTTCGCCTCCTCCTCCTCCTCGCTCTCCGCCCCGTCGTCCCTCTCGGGCGGAGGCCATGGCGCACCTCCAGGCGGGCCTGAGGCCCGAGACGCTGGAGAAGGCGCGACTGGAGCTCAACGAGACCCCCGAGAGCGTCCACCAGGCCATCCAGGAGGTGCGCGACCTCATCATCACGAGGCCCGACGTGGGCTTCCTGCGCACGGACGACGCGTTCATCCTGCGCTTTCTGCGGGCGCGCAAGTCGCAGCCGGCGGCCGCGTTCCGCCTGCTCGCGCAGTACTTCGAGTTCCGGCAGCAGAACTTGGAGATGTTCAAGAACTTCAAGGCGACGGACCACGGCATCAAGCAGGCGCTCCGCGACGGCTTCCCCGGCGTTCTCACCGAGCCCGATCACTACGGCCGCAAGGTCCTGGTGCTGTTCGCGGCCAACTGGGACCAGAGCAGGTGATGGCACGCCTCACGGACCACACGCCCCCCCCCCCCCCACTCAGTCTCGATTCAGTCACAGGACATCATCCAAACCGACCGGTCTCATTCACGCAGCGTCGGTCAACTGTGCAGCTTCATTCAACGATGAATCTTAATTCAACCGCACAGCCAAATTCAGCCGCACAGATTATATTTCAGCCTACTTCAACCGGCATTATTCAATCGCGTAGCCTCATTAAACTATGCAGCTTAACTCAATCCGCCTCATTCATTCCTTCGTTTCACTGTGTGGCATCATTCAACCGCATGTCGATTTTTTTTGCCGAGCTTAATTCATCCTTGCAGCTCATTCCACCACACAGACGAATTCGACTCCACAGCTCCATTCAACCACTCCTACTCAACTCCGCATCAATCAATCACACGACATTCAAACGTGCAGTCTCATTTAACCATCCATTCTTTTAACCGCATTTTTTACAAATTCAATCACAAACATTATTTTAAACGCGCAGCCTCAATCAGTCTTACATCCTTGCCCTCTTGCAGAGCTTCATTCGCCGTATTGACCCACTGTACTGCACAGCCCTCCCTCCGCAGGCTGTGAACATCACTGGCGTAACCTCCACATCTCGGATGTGGACAGTGAGTTTGATTCCTGAGCACAGCTAACATCAGTGGCGAGCGATGTCGAAACCAGTCAGGAAACCCCATTTATTCAGAGGTTAGAGCACTGGTGTGGTGACATTCAAAATCCGAGGTTCAAATTCAGGCAGCTGATTGTAATTCAAACTGGGTTCTTAGAGGGCTAGTGAGTGGATAGTCTCACCTGGTCAACGGTGACTGCACACAAAAACAATTGTATGAAAACTGGTGTTGCAGTCATTATGGCTAAAATTATTGACCCTTTATTTTTGGCACGCAAAATCAACCCCCATTGCATTCAATTGGCGTTGTACTTAATTAGGATACATTCCAGCGGTTAGAACCGAATATGTGTTTGTACGATTGTCAAGCGATGGACATTTCACTCATATGCAGAGCAGATGGGAAAAATGCTGCCCACCTACGTTGTGGACCAGAGATCGCTTGCAGAGATGTCAGAAGTAGCTCCGTGGTGTCCGCTTCTGTGGGACGCTCTCCAACCCGGAGGCTTGCGCTGCTCTGTGAGAGTTTCTAATGGATTCATGGTTCGTCTCGTGACCACGTGATGCAGTCAGCGCAATCTGGATTAAATTGAGGGGGGGGGGGTAAGACAAAAATATCTAATTATTCCAACCGAAGATAGAAGACGTCATTTCGAGTGACATTTAACAAACTCTCTTCACGGGGCATACGAATGGTTTGCTCATAGCGTGGATAAAAGAGGCTATTGAAGTGATCTCGGAAGCAATCTTCACATTTGAAGTGTATTTTGTTGAGCCGGGTTCAGAATTCAAGAGACCAGGATGGGTCTATTTTGTAAGAGCGCGACCTGGGGCGCCAAACTGATAAATGAAGAAACAAAAAATGGGTCTGTGATCTCATCTTTTACGGATGTTTTCTGATGCAATGTGATCTTATACTGCTCGCTGAGAGAGTTCAAGATGTAATAAAAAAAATATATATTACTGGTAGTAACCTCCTGGTTACACCAGCCCACAGGGGATTATTGTGTCCGTCCGTCCATCGTGCAGGGAGAGACTGGGTGGGGAGGGTGGAGCTGGGAGGAGTGGGGCTGGGTGGGGAGGGGCTGGTCACCCCGTGGTGCCCTTATAAAACTCAACGTTTAACCTACTCACGCCGGCTTGTGCCCGCCCTCACATTCGGGCATATTTGCGGAATACACCACGCCGCCGTTGACCCTGGCCATTGACCGAGCAACCCAACGTTCCTACCAGCTCCCTCCGCAGGAATGTGTTGTTCCGGTTAAATTCCAATCGTGCTATCGATTTAGATTTTTTATTTAGTTTATTATCCTGCTCCCGCAACTCCAATTAACACGGTTGGCTAAACACGATACGAAAGAAGTTCAACGTAGTATATACATACGTACCATGAGCAAAAATAAATTTACATACGAAACTCTGAGATATCAGTGAAGTCACTCCTATAGATACGTTGTGATCCATGCTCTGGGGAACACCTTTGGCATCACCGCTAACAGTGTTTGTCACGTGTTCAGCAAACCGTTATTTAAATTTCACAGCTGGGAAAAAGCCAAATAATATACAAATAGCTTAATGCATTGTACCACCACGGCTGACCGAGCTGAGACCATCGATTTGCTACACAGCGGCGTAGCGTGGTTGGCATGGGCCCTGGCGTGAGGAATTAATTGGGGGTCCCTCCACCCCGTGGCCCCTGGTGCAGATGAACCGGCCACACATTCGATGGCTGCGCCACTGCTCAGAGCTGGGAGAGAGGAGAGAGAAAAAAAATCCCTATTTAATTAACAACAAAATTAATTGTGCCGTCTTTGGTGACCGGGCCAAAACCATCAACTCACTTCACTTGCGAATTCGATTGAATCACGGGTGGCTGAAATTTGCATTTAAATGCAGGTCCCCACCTGTGGCAGCACGGTGTTTCTGACGCAGCATTAGCCACCTGAGCCACACCTCCGCCTCCATCTCATCATAATTTGACACCAATGGAACAGACCGGGAACGCGGCCTCGGTATTACAACAACAAAAAACACAAGCGAGCAAAGATCATGCACGCTCATTGATGATTCAACACTTTCCAACAGGCGTTCGTCCTTGGAAATGCTGAATTGACCGTACGGAAGCTGCCGGGTGTGGCTGTCGAGGCAAAATGCACGTGGATATTTTAATATTTAAAACTGTGGATATTTCAATATTTGAATATTTTTTTCCCCGGTTTGTGCTTCCAATTTTTGGGCGGCTCTTTTTGTTGTTTTTCTATCAGTTTGACTGGTTTCCAATTGCATAGCTCCTAGATGGCTACACAACTTTACACTACAGAATGAAATACGTGTTTTTGGTGACGCCGCTGCTGCTGCTGCACTGTCAGTTGTGTACAAGCACGAATAAGAAACACAAATATAACTCAACACATTCGTCAATAACACTTTAGCCCCTAAAATGACAAATATACAAAAGGTAACGTTTCGGACGATGACCCTTCCTCAGAGGTAGAGAGTCCCTTTCCCATCATACTCATCATCAACGCTGCCATGCAACAGAAATGTTGTTTCGGGCAAAGGGCCTTCTTCAGAGCCAAGAAGAAGAAAAAAATAGCACAGAGTGGTTTACTGACTTGGAGTTGTGGATCCCGCTTGTGCGGACGGGCGCTTGCAACCTCCGAGACGTCGAGAGCGCCCGCCGGGGTGAGGTCTCACGCAGGCGTTAATCCGCGGAGCGCGCAGGTACACGTTCGTGGACATCCTGCGCGCCATCCTGCTGTCCCTGGAGACGATGATCGAGGACGCAGAGTGCCAGGTCAACGGCTTCGTGCTCATCATCGACTGGAGCAACTTCTCCTTCAAGCAGGCCTCCAAGCTGAGCCCCAGCATGCTGCGGCTGGCCATCGAGGGCCTGCAGGTGAGACCCTCTCGGCGCTCCGCAGGGGAAAACGCACGTACATCGAAGCGGGAGTGCTTCGGCGTGATGGCAAGCACCGCGTGTGGCTCATCTCCCCGTTTACCGCCCAGAGCCAGAGGTGGGAATTCTACAAGCTCATTGTGTGCACCGATGTGCAAACGTCGTTGTTGTCGTCGTCGTCATCATCATCAGCAGCAGCAACGCGCGCACAAATAAACAAAACACGTGTGGAGTCCGTCGTCCCAATGGCTGTCCAGACTTGGACAATATTGTTCTGGCAAGACGTTAGGCCGATGAGACACTTCCTAGCAGGGCTACGTGCCCATCGCGATCAGATTCAGGTTTCTCTCGCCCGATGCGGGTTTCGGTTTGTCCAATTTCGCGTCTATGCGGCTAACCTACGTCGACCCAAAATTCGCTCTATGCGGTTTTAATTCACTCAGACGCGGCTATGCGGCCGGGCATAGGACAACATTGTGTACTATGTGTGTACTGTGTATGTACTGTGTATGTGTGCTCTGTGTATGTGTATACTGTGTGTACTGTGTATGTGTGCACTGTGTATGTACTGTGTATGTGTGCACTGTGTATGTGTGCTCTATGTGTGTACTGTGTATGTACTGTGTATGTGTGTACTGTGTATGTGTATACTGTGTGTACTGTGTATGTGTGCACTGTGTATGTACTGTGTATGTGTATACTGTGTGTACTGTGTATGTGTGCACTGTGTATGTACTGTGTGCATTACTCGGCGGGGCATTGTGGGTTGCGTGGCTGTTGCGGTCCACGCATCGCAATTTCGATTTGTGCGCCATTTTTTGTTGGAACGCATCTACTACGACTACTACTACGACCGCATAAGGCGAGGAAAGCCAGGGGAGGAGGTGGTGCGTGCTGCATGTCCGGCGAGAACAAACACGCTCTCCCGATGAGCATGGCACTCGGTGGCGAGCGAACTGCGACGCGACAAGAACGCAGCGGACGAGAACCACCAAAGCGACGCCGCCGCAATGGCCCATGAGCAGATCGCCCGTAAAGCGCCTGACCTCAGAAGGTCAAGCTGGGTATCGATATGATGCACGAACAGGTGTTCTTCATAAGCGGAAGGGGGCGGCGTTACGCTGTTGGCAGCAGCGGATTGTGAAAGCCAAAATCCACGGTTGTACCGCACCTTAGCGCTCCCGCGTTGATGCTCCGGGCGTTCAAATAAGAACCCACACAGTACACTCCCACCACACAGTACACTCCTAGTGCACAGTACACCCCCACCACACAGTACACGCCCACCACACAATACACTCCCACCACACAGTACACTTCTACCACACAGTACACACAGTACACCCGTACCAAAACAGTACACCCCCACCCCACAGCAGCACACTCGCTGCACGGGACGCTAACGAGCAGTCCGCGCTCTTTGCACGCGACGGCCTCGAGCTCTGAGGGACAGTCCCGTAGCGTTGCCCCTCACCCCGTGCCCCGACTCCCCCCCCCCCCCCCCCCGTCTGTGACGCTGCGCAGTGAGGCGCGGGAGCGTGATGGCAGGTGAATATTAATCACGCCGCTAATGACGCATTAGCATTCATCGCAGTCCTCTCTATCTGCCGTGGGCAGGCGGGCGGGCGTGCGTGCGAGTGACGCCTGCTGCAATATCTCCACCACCACCTTTGTTTCTCGCTGCCCCTCTGCTCTTTCAGCTCTTTGCGCTGCGAGTCGTAGGGGTGGGGGGTTGCCAGCTGTCCTGAATTTTTCCAGAGTCGTCGTCTTCCTCCTCTTTTAGAGGATGTAGCCGTCTTGGGTGATCTCTAAACTACAAAACCACAGTGGTTGTGTTTTACCCGGCAAGGTCCGCTAAGCCACGTAGCTCTTTCACCGATGCGACCTGGACATCACAGGTGATAGCCCAACGAAGTGGGATTACCATCGTCACCGTGTGGACATGTAACGCAGCCGAATACTCTGAACGCGTGATGTTGATTCTAAATGTGGAGGGGAAAACCGGAGAAAAATCCACGCGACCACGGGGAGAGAGACACGCAAACTCCAAATATGCTGCAGGCGTCACGGTCGAGATCGAACCCACGACCTCCCGCACACCAGGCGAGGCGGTTAACATCTGTTCCCGGGACGTGAAAGCTCGCGGTGTCTGCGTGTTCATAATAATGATAATAGAGTACACCGCTCACGAGAACGCGTTTACACATAGTTCTCCCTTGCTGCGGCGCCGTGAGAACCAGTGCAGGATTCGTCTGACTCCACACGACTCGGCACAATGTTTGAACCAGAGCTGTAAAAGCGACCAAACGCCCTCTCATCCAGCAGTGGGCTGAGACATGTGCATGCGTAACGTGTGCTGGGGGTGGCACTGTGGGTGCTATAGGCTACTGTGGGGCTGTACGGTGGAAATCTGTGGTGCGGTGTCTGCACCAACACGCACTGACCAGCGTGGCGAGGTATGGTGGAGGGGGGGGGGCTGTATTGTGAGGATTATTCCAGGAAGGGAGGCTTGGGAGGGGGGGCTGCTTTACGCAGTTACCCATACAAGAGTCCAAGTGGGGGGAGATGTTAACGAGCTCGCCCGGTACACGAGAGGTCGTGGGTTCGATCCTGACCCCGACGCCTGTTGTATATTTGGAGTTTTCTCTCGATCTCTCCCCGTGGTCGTGTGGTTTTTCTCTCCACATTTAGAAATACGCGTTTACAGTGTTATGGCTGAAATACATTCCCACGTGATATTCCACTTTGTTAAGCTTATCGTTTGTGGCCAAGTGGCTTCTGAAAAAGAGCTACACAGTTCTGTCGGCCTTGCCTGGTAAAATAACACAACATAGTTTAGTTTTAAATTTCGATTTAAAGCTTTCGTGACTGCAGGGATTCATCTTCTTGGTTCTTTCGGTAAAGTCGCGTAGAATGGAAATAATAAAAAATAAAACATAATAAAATTAATATTTTAAAATAAATATTTTATTATGTTTCATAAAAGAATAAAAATAAAACGTAATAAAATAAATATTTAATTATGTTTTATTTTTATTATTCAAATAAATATTTGTTTATGTTTTATTTTATTTATTTTATTATTTCCATTCTACGTGACTTTACCGAAAGAACCAAGAAGATAGTTTAGTTTTAGTTCATTCCTTCCCATCCCCCTGCCCACTCCGTAAACGCGGCCCGCTCGAGAAGGCGAGACGGACCCTTTAACGTGGGAGGGGCAGCAACCTCTGGGGTTTCTCTACAATTTCTGCCCTCCTCCTGCTCGACTCCTGAGGGGGCGGAGCTACCCGAGTAGTGGGCGGGGCCAATGCCGGTAAGAGCCAATAGGAGGCCTCTCACTCGCTCTTTGGGGGCGGGGGGGGGTGCTAGTGGTTCGAGTGGGCGTGGCTCTGTTGAAAGTGGGCGTGGCTCTGTTGAAAGTGGGCGTGGCTCTGTTGGAAGCGGCCGTTTCTATGTGTGAGTGGGCGTGGCTCTGTTGGAAGTGGGCGTGGCTATGCTGGAAGTGGGGGTGGCTCTGTTGAAAGTGGGCGTGGTTATGCTGGAAGTGGGCGTGGATCTGTTGGAAGTGGGCGTGTCTATGTGCGAGTGGGCGTGGCTCTGTTGGAAATGGGCGTGGCTCTGTTGGAAGTGGGCGTGTCTATGTACGAGTGGGTGTGACTCTGTTGGAGGGTGTTGATGGCCGCTCGCCCTCCCAGGCATGTGAGCTCACCGTGAAATTATCGCACGGGGCAGCTCCCCGCAGAGAGATTTGCGTGCGATCAGCTGTGAGCCCTCCCCCCACCCCGAGGGCTGCGTTTGTGGTTGTTGGGGTGTGGGGAGCGGGGGAGGATGGTGTCAGCGTTAAGTGCATTTGGCTGTAGAAAGGTCGCGGTCTCTCTAACACGATAAATTTAGCAGCTAAAACCTCCAACGAGCCGCTCGGTTTACCAATTATAAGAGAGTAGGAATTAATATATTAAGCCACTATGCCCAGCAAGTGGATTTCACGTGAATCGTTTAAAGTTCACGACTCTATTTAGACAGCAAGCACATTTTTGCAACTAATTGTTACCGTACCATTTGTAATATGGCTCTATTTTCAATGTTCCGACAGTTTAGTTAATTAGCCCTTCGTATAGGTCGGTCTATAACCAAATCAAGAAATTTAAAAAATAGTACGAAACTATTGTTTACGCCCTTGTGGTGACCGCTCTGCATCTCTGCAACTTTAACCCCGACCCTTAACCCCGACCCTTCTCAACCCTTAACCCCAACCTTTAACCCTAACCCCAACCCTTGACCACAACCCTTAAGCCTAACCCTTACCACAAACGAACACAGCTGCGTGGCAGAAGCATTTCAAGATGACACTACGCTCATCAATAGGCACACATCCTTTTCGCCGGAAGCGAACGAGTCCCCAACCAAGATTTAACGAAGCCATTAAAGTCGATGACCAGCCACCTGGAACGCACCCGATTCTCGCCAGACCTGGGGACGCTCCGCAACTTGGAGTGTGGATAGCGCCTGGATGGGTGACCGCCGCCACGCATGGCAGCCTGGTTATCGGCTGCTGCCCCACCCCAGTCTCCTTCATTGCCCCACCCCAAATTTCGATTTAAAGCTTTCGTGACTGCAGGGATTCATCTTCTTGGTTCTTTCGGTAAAGTCACGTAGAAGGGAAACAATAAAATAATAATAAAAACCAAGAATAACTAAATTTCGATTTAAAGCTTTCGTGACTGCAGGGATTCATCTTCTTGGTTCTTTCGGTAAAGTCACGTAGAATGGAAATAATAAAATAATAAAAATAAAACAATAAAATAATTCTCACGACGTTTCGGCCACAACGCAAGTAGCCGTCCTCAGGACTCTGTCTCCTCGACAGACCTATTCTCCACCTGGGGACGGCTGCTTGCGTTGTGGCCGAAACGTCGTGAGAATTATTTTATTATGTTTTATTTTTATTATTTTATTATTTCCATTCTACGTGACTTTACCGAAAGAACCAAGAAGATGCC